ATTATCACCGCAATTTCTACCAACAATGTAGAAATAGGGTTAAAAAGTCTTTACGATAATTGATTCATCCATGTTTTTTTTTAATTTATTATAATATCAAAAGTTAAAATAAGACATATTACAAATAAAAAACATATATGCATATTACAAAATATTTTAAAATTGATGGACATAATAATTAATTGCTAGAGACCTAAGGCCACTTTTTAGCTGAAAGCTTTGCTGGATATGAAACAAATTAAAGACAAAATTATTGGCAATGCTGCAGGTTTTTTCTTTTTTTCTTTTGTGTGTGTATGTATTGTGGGGTTGCATTTGTTGGGTTTTTCCTTTAATTTTTTAAAAGATTTCCATTTGGTACCTTAATTCATTGGGAGTGAAAATATCTATGCTCTGCAAAAATGGTAGGACATTATATTAATTAATTAGTCCAAATTTTGTGATACTCTACAATCTTTTCTCCCTCTTTTTTCATTTTAAACTTTACACTTTCAACCCTATATCAATTATGGTGATATCATATGGTTCATTGAATCTTGGATCAAATATTGAAAATAATTATTTGGGGTAAAAAAAAATTCTATTAAATATAATATAAAATTTAATAACAAAAGTGAAAATGAGGATTTAACACTAGATCTGGAACTAAAAGAAGGACGTCGTTCTGTATAAAAATAGGAACGTAACGACAAGTAATATCGAGTACCGGTGGCAAGTGGCAAGCAATGTCAAACGACGGTCGAGGAGGAGGAGAAAGAAATGGGTTGGGTGGAGAAAAAGTTGGAGAAAAAAATATAAAATTTTGAACAAATAGACTTGTTGCTCTTATTATGCATGTTTGATCATGATGCTAACTTTTGTTTTATGTTTTGAGATTGTTTATTTCTATGTTCCTCTTGAAATATTAGTTAATTTTGGGAACGAAAAACAAGTTATACAAAATTACTCTTTGTTGAAACAATCTAACATATCTCAAATTAAACTTATATTATAAAAACTAAACTTATATTATAAAAACTAAAAACAAAATAGTTAGGAAGAGATTTAAATTTGCGAACTTATTTAGCTCAATTAATTAAAACATGTATCTTCGATTAAATATCCAAGACTAATTAAAATCCTACTCAAAAAATAAAAAAGATTTAAATCTCAATAATGATTGTTTTATATCTATATATATACAATAAATCACAAATTACTCCACGTGACAAATATGACCCGATCGATTAAATTCGCCTATCGGTCGATTGACCAGGGAAATATACCCCAAACTCGACTAATCGATCCAAACATGCATATATTTGTGTCGTTTCCCTTCTCCTACTCCTCACCCTCCGAACTTTTTACCTCAGTTCCTCTCCCTCACCTCACGGCCTCATGTGTTGCCCTCGCCCCACAGCCGCAGCCCGCTCTCGCGTCGCCTCAACCATAGCCCCGCCCGCATTGCTTCAGCCGCGGCCCATCACCTTTGCCAATCTTTGTAGATACACACCAGCACTAGTGCAACCCAACCACCCCTCCTCCGCCTGAGCCGCTACCTAGCCCCCTCCCTCCACTCTATTTCGCATCCCCCTCTCGTCGACCACACTGCAACTCATAAAAGAATTAAAAATAACACACACACGCAATAAATTGTATTAAAAAAAAAGTCGGTTTGGTAAAAATCAACCAATCAAACCAACTATTTGGTCGGTCGGCGAGATTTCCTTTAAAATGTCGGTCGGCGAGATTTCCTTTAAAATGTTGGTCGATCTCTATTGGCGTCAGTTTTGACTTGATAACCAATCCAATCGATCGATGTACAGGTTGACGAGAAATTAGACCTTCGACTTTAGAAAATGTAAAGTTTCAACGGTCGAGCAATAACGGTGAGGTTGGTGAGGTACATCTTAATTTTTACTATATATATATATACATACTTATATATAGTTAGTCATTTGAGTTGAGGTGTTATTTTTGTCGGGGTTTGATTGGGAATTTTAAGGAAGAGGGAAAAAGGCACATTCCTTGTCTAATGGAATTGTAGCCACCCACAGACATGGGGTGGATGGGTACCCAATATCTGCTAATTCCTACTAACAAATCCTTTTTCTTTTTTATCTTTTGCAGAATTTCCCATATTTATTTTTTATTATTACATCTAAAAAGCTGGTCTCCCCCTTTCATCAAATGTTTCATTTCAATTTCATCCTCTTTTTAATTCACTGCATCTGGCTGAGACCAACTTTCATATGCATCCACCTCATCATTTTTTCTTTTCTCACTCTTTTTTTTTTCTTTTGGGGAAAAAGTTTTGATGATAGTGATGTTCTAAGTTTGGAATTCATGGGTAAATGGGATTATTTGTCTCCTTTAATTTCCACTAGCTATCACAATCACAATGGTTTTGGAGAAGCTTTTCAAAAAAGAAAAGGAAAAAAAAAATGTTCATTTGAAGTTGTTTGTGTAGATGAGATCAAATTACTGTCATTATTATAATTTTTTGAGAAATGAAAATAACGACAATATTCCTTAATTCAAACAGATCAAAGGACAATTACTACATTTCATTCTACAAATTAAAGTCGGACTAGGATGACAACTTTAAATTTCTCTTGAGATACTCTTTCATTACTAGTAATTATCCGGAAATACCGACATATAAATTTTATAAATCAAAGCCATTTGACATTAGCAACAAAGATATATACAAGAATATTTCTGCCTCTATTTGTATTAGTATCATATATAACTATACCACACTTTTATATTAGTCATTAAGTATGATAAAGGACAACGGTATCCCTCAAGTATCTTTGCAATGATATGATATTGTGCACTTTAGACATAACTCTACCATAAACTTGAGTATTATGATCAATATTAATTGAAATTTTGAGTGAACTCCTCTAACTAAGAAGCATAAAAAAGTGGCAACATTAACAAGTTAACATTTACTCTTATCTTAGAGGTCGAATTACCATCGACAACAAAATTAAAGCTCAAAACTAAAAAAATAAAATTAAGAAAAAAAGACTAATGTTAAATACCAATAAGTTACAACGATAAATTATAGTAAATATGGACGAAAACTAAAAAAATAAAAATCATTTTCTTTTTTTTTTTTAATTTAACTTGAGTTGTAGCTGGCAGGTAGGTGGTGATGTACAAGCTGTGGTTGCATTGATGTATGGTTTGTGATTTGAAGTTCTAACAATTAGGTCTTTCATTGATTCAACAAATTAGGAAAATTTTCAGTTTTAAATGTGGCTTAGAACTTAAATTAAAAAAGTGGTTACATAATACATTACATATTTTAAACATAATAAAAAAAAATAGAAGAGGGAAATGTCGAAAAGGCCCATGTAAATTTGGGTTGGCCTTGAGAATTTGAGGGCATAGGGGTAGGGAGAGTGATGGAAGTGAAAAGTAGGCCTGTTTCTCTCTCAGGCTAAGCCCCAAACATCCAGCATTGAACTCTGATGGGCCTATTGGACTCCATTAATCATTCATCTTTTCCCAAAAACAATAATAAATTTTTTTTTCGATTTTTTGTTCATTTAATTGGTTGATTGTTTTGATCATTTTATATTTCCATATTAATAAATAAAAATCAGGAATACGGGAGAATACTTACAGGAGTATAACCAAATACCAATGTGATATTTGTCGAACACTCTCCAATACTTAATTAAGAAAAATTCTAGTACTATAGAAATACCATACTCTCTTTGTTCACATTATAATTTTACGTTTATAAGTAAGTTTTGAACGTTAGCAAAACCCACATCACTTCTAATACAATACTACTCGTAGTACCAAAAATTTTCTTACTTAATCCAGCTATAGACAAGTTGGGGGAATAATTCATTCACCAACCCTCAACAATGTTTTAAAGTTTCATATTTATAAAATGGAAGCGATCACATGCACATGAAAGGATTTAATAAGCTTCTTTTCTAAACACGTGGGTGGCACCACAATTATTTTTTAGTACAATATGTGAAGTGCCATAACCACTCGAGCTAAGCTCGATTTGGTGTGGGTAGCACCACACTTAATAAAACGAGTTATGAACATTGTTAATAAAGTTGTGCATTTGATTAGTGATTTCGAAATAGAAGTTTGAAAATAAAATATTTAATAAAAATTAGAGTTAGAATTACACGTTTTCAATATTTTTGAACATATTTTTAGTAATAAATTTGAAAATTGAATCTCAATTTAAAAAAATTGTTCAAACTTTTAGGGATATATTTATAAACTAGGGGCAGTGGTAAACAATTCAATATAAAATAATATTAATTAATTTATTAACCTATTTATTACAAATTTTGTAGAATTATTATTTTAAACAATTATATAGTTTTTAATATATTATATTTTACATTTTTTAACTTTTAATATATTAAAAATTAGTCGAAGTACGTATAAACTGACCCGAAAACTTAAAGATTTATATATTTATCAAAGTTTCAAATTCAAAACTTGAAAAACATTGAAAACATAAAAAAGTTGATTTTAAAATTTTCGATCCTAAAATCTGAAAACAGTTTAAAAACAGATCACCAAACATATATTCACAATCTAAAAGTTCAAATATAGTTCGAATTGTATAGGATGTCCTAAATATATTTTTTTTAATTACATAGAACTGTTGTCACGTTGATTTGATGGTGAATTCGTACATTAATAACCAATTTACGGCACTATCATTAGCATTTGAAAATTTTGAAATCCAAAATCCCCACATTTTTTCCCCCAAAGGGAAACACAAACAACATATGAAAAACGATCCATTAATTTTTAATATTGTGTCACCGACATGCTGATCTGGTCCACACACTCACACCAAAGATTCCGCAGCAATGGAGCAACTTCCAATCACGAACCGCCACGTGGAAACACGGCTGCTTTGACTTTGACGCTTGTCCGCCCCCACGTCTCCACCATTCCCACGCGCGCACCGTCCACGTCCCGGCGGCCACCAAATATTCCCTCTTTAAAACCCCAATTTCTCCGCTCTCCTTCTTCCTCTCATCACTGTTCTTACAAATCCGATTCCAAAACACTCGAATCAGAGATCGAAATCGTCGCCCATGGCAGCTCTAAGAGCAGTTTCCAGCTCTTTCAGATTAGCCTCCGCGAATCCGGCTAAATCCTCCGCTAATCGCCCGATTTCCGTCAAGCTCTCCAGTTCGCTCCTCAATCCGAGCTCCAAAATCTTCTCGGCTCCCAAGAATCTGAGTTTCTCCGCGCCGGGAAGATCGTTCTCTTGCCGGAGCCAGGCTAGCCCCTCCGATTCCCCCAATCCGAGTGAGTTTTTTTTCTCTTTTCACTTCATCGCCTCCATTTGATCCTTGGGATCTTTGTGGATTTTTGATGATCCGTTCGGTTTTCTGCAGGTAGAGTTCAGGAATTATACGTTTACGAGATCAACGAGAGGGATCGCCAAAGTCCTGCGTATCTTAGGTTAAGCCAGAAGAATACGAATGCGCTCGGCGATCTGGTTCCCTTCACGAACAAAGTAAGATCGATTTATCTGCGTATTTTACTTTCCATGCCTTTGAATTCCCGTTCATCCGTGGCTTTCTCTGGAGAAATTTCTGATTAATCTATAAAGGAATCGCAAAATTCCATCAATGCTTTGATTCGAACGCTATCTAGGGTTTTCACCGGAAAAAAGAATTCCTTAGCAAATTCCAATACGAATCTGATTATTCACATTCTTCGATTCCCGATGATAATGTAAATCTCTATTGATTGGAAATGAAATGATTACAGCTGTATACCGGAGATCTGGAGAAACGAGTAGGAATCACGGCAGGGCTATGCATATTGGTTCAGAACAAGCCGGAGTTGAAAGGCGACCATTACGAGGCGATGTACAGCTTTTACTTCGGAGACTACGGTCACATAGCGGTGCAGGGGCCTTACCTGACCTACGAGGACACGTATCTGGCTGTGACTGGTGGGTCAGGAATCTTCGAAGGCGTGTCGGGTCAGGTTAAGCTGCAGCAGATCATCTTCCCCTTCAAGCTTTTCTACACCTTCTACTTGAGGGGCATTGGGGAGTTGCCTGCGGAGCTGGTTGTGAAGCCGACGGAGCCGAGCCCAGGCGCCGAGCCCACCCCCAACGCCAAGGCCTGCCACCCACATGCCACCATCTCTGGCTTCACTAACTAACCCTCCCTCAGGTGCTCCTTCTTCCCTTTACTTTGTAAATCAATCGCAATCTCTTGTGTTTTTGTCGTTGTTTTGGTTTTAACGCTCTTCTCATCTGCAAAATCCTTAAATTGTATCCTTATTTTGATTGGGAGAGGTTTTGTGATTGTGTTCAACAACTGGTGTATAGATTCAAACCTCTTAGGTCGTTTTGGTCAAGGATTGGTCAAGGATATATGCGTTAACTAGTTGAACTATATTCGACCGTGTAATCTTGTGGTGTAATAAAAAGACACGTTTTGGTTATCTTTTCTTGTTTGTTTTTTAGGATGCTTTTGGGTTTATGGATTTGTGCCCACTTGATTTTAATTTTTAAGTTTGAGTATGATAAATTAATTTGTTTATTTTAATTATCACAACACAAGGAAAATATGTTGTGTAATTATATGGTGATATTCCATTCCATTAATTTTTAATAAATTGTTTGTACCTTCTAAAAAATGTAAATGTTGTACTATTAAATTTCCTCATTTTCGACGAGGAGAATTTCTAAAAATTTGTCAAAGCGAGCATAGTTCGATAGGTATCCCAAGTACCTTAAGTATCTCCTGATATTGTCCGACTTTATTTTTGGTTTCACCCAAAATGTCTCGTACCAATAAAGATACTTGTCCTTCTTTATATATCTATGATCACCTCTTTTTCCCTGTCCATAAGAGACTTTGTTTGCATTCACCTTACAAACCCAACAATTAGATATATGTTTTTTATCCAAGCTCGAATCCCACACCACCATTTCTTGTACTTAAAAAAAAAAAGAGACAATATATTACTTTAACACGCAAAAACAGAAAATTTTTAATTAAAATATTATCAACCGATAAAGATTACATGGATGGACGCAGACTCGATCCAATGCACCTCAAATTTGTAAGGAATGGTAGAGCACTTAACGAATGGTGTGAGATTTGATGATACACAAAAAATCAAATTGATAAAAGAGAGGTCGAGAGAGTAATGCCAAGTCAACCTCCACCACGTGAATTTATGTACCTAGTTATTTTTTTTTTCCGAAAAATTTATGTAGCTAGTTATATGTTTTATCACAAAAGAAAAAAAAACAAATCAAAAACAAATATAGATATAGATCAAATATAGAGTTGGAGTGGAGACTCGACATCTTTGTCTAAGAAAATTAGAAGGAAAAAAAATGATAGGATTTTGACACTACAAGAATTTTTGTCTTCCTTGAATGAAAAAATATAACGAGTGTTAATATAAGTATAACGTAATTAGTTAAGATATATATCATCGATTAGAAGGTTGAAGATTCATTCACACGTACTCAAAAAAGAAAGAGGCAAAAAAGAAAAAAAGGGCTGATGACAAAGTTAACATATTAATGAATAAATTAAAGGCTTTATAAGCAAAGTTTTTGCATTTAATGAACTACTAAATATATGAATTTGACTAAAGATTAATAAAACTAAAAGTATTTAACATGAGATCCACAAGCTTGATTATTTATTGATATAATCTTTATTGCCTCCTTAAATTGATTCTCTTTCATCTTTAGAAATTAGAACTATTATAATTATAAATTATTGGCAAACAAATTTTTTTAAAAAAATTGATGGACAATTTTCATGAGATGATCTTTTTTAGATTTAGTCCAATTTCATATGTAAAATTGAAAATGAGTATTCAATTAGAATCTCATATGGTCATTAGCAGTAATTGACGTATATCTCCAACCAAAATGTTGTGAGTTCGATCCCCACCTCAACATGTTGCACTAAAAAAAATTAGAATCTCATACGTAAGAGATAACCTAAATCATATTATTTAAGTATAGGCTATATAGTAAACTAAAATTATATTAACAAAATTTAAAGATTCAATTGACTAATTTTAAATTCCATTCATCGAATTATACAACACTTCATATTTCCCCCAAACTTTAGGTATGTTGCATCATCTCCACAAATATTTACAATAACTCTCTACCAAACCTCGATACATATAATTTTCAACCAAACTAGAATATAAATTATTCCAATATATAAACATAAATAAAATTAATCAAAATTAAATATGATTAATTTTCAAAGAAAATACACACACGTACAAACATTTTTCGACCAAAAACAAAAACTTTCCTATGCTAGTACTAGAAATTTGTCTTTTCTTGATGACTCTTCCAATCCATGGTAACTTTTTTTATTATTATTATATAATTAAAGACCATAATGTAGACTAATTTTAATCTCTATTAAACACTTTATTTTTGGTCTAATCTCAAAGATTAAGTGTGATCTATACTCTAATTTTTAATTAGTTGTGAACTAATCTCACATACCTTCGTAGGACAATCTCCTTTGTTTTCTTTTCTATTAATATTAGTTATTTTTCTAGTCAAACATCATTTTAAATATATTCGGAACCATTCTATGATGCTTTTGTAAGATAAAATATTTAATATATATATATATATATATTTTTTTTTTCAAAAAAAAATTAAAAAGCTATCAAATTTTTGTTAATAATCAGCAAAAGTAGGTGTTGCGGAATCTAAATGTTTTTCAACTCTCAATATCGTATCTAATCATTTCTTATTAAAAAGTACCCAACAATCTCTAAATTTTTTATTTTTGTATTTAATAAATTTCTAAATGACAAATTTTAAAATTTAGAAATCTATTAAATACAAAATTAAATATTTAATAAATCTTCAACATACAAATTTCAAATTTCAAATATCTATTAAATACAAGATTACAAAATTTGGAGTTCTATTAAACAATATTTAAAGTTCGGGACACAATATTACAAATTTATTGTATATATTTCTTTCGATTTTATTTACCTATTAAATAGAACCAAATACAAGGATTAATTTTGTAATATAAGCATATAAAAATATATTTTTTTATATATAAACCTCTCACTTTCATGAAACCAACGTTGCATGCACAAAGAAACAAAAACCGAGAAAGGTATGCTGAGATCAACACCAGAGTGGGACCCACTCTATCTCTAGTCCCCATGATTCAAACCACCACGTGTCAACCATTTCTACATATTTACCCACACAAAATTTTAACTCGTGCCACGTGTCAAAATTATTATGCCCTGCTAGGTAATCAGCAACAACTACTTATTTAAAAAAAAAAGGGCATTTTTTTCCTTTTTTTCATTTCTTTTTTAGTTGTTGAAAATATAACGTTAGATATAGTATAAATATTATTCTTACATGAGGATGGTGGTTGTATAGTGTATGGTATTCAAATCCATCAACCAATGTGCTTCATGTGGCCTTGCCTCAGCCCCACTATTTTATTTGGCATCCTTTTGAATATATAATATATATATATATATATATATATATATATATAATATAGTTTTTTTAAAAGATATGGTTGTTTGCACTATGATATGGTTGGTCTTGATTCTTTTATAGTTAGCAATTTGGTCCAGACGACCAAATTTTCTATGGAACAAATTTATTGAGAGTTCCTCGTTTGTATATAAAAGATTTGATATCAAATGATATATCTTTTGAAATGGTTAGAATAAGATGCCTAGCATATATTCTTAGAAAGAAATCCTTTTATTCCTACTTCTTAACATGACTAAGTTATTTTAGAAAAGGAATTGAAAAGTCGTGATCTGTAGGCTCTAAAATAGATAAATAAACGAGAAAGGATAATGTTCATAAGGACACACTTTTGAAATATATAAACATAAAATGCAATAACAAAAAAAACATAATAAAAAAATTTGAAATATGGAGGAAAAATGACGATCGTGATGGAAGCATAATCACTAAAAGAAAGAATGGTATTGTTTTTGTAATATTGATAAATAATGAAAGAGAAGTTTAGAATTCTTGAACATGGTACAAATTCTTTTAATATTAAGCTTTTAACCAAGCTCAATAATATTTGACATATATACCAAATCTTAAGCTTTTAACGAAAAGTATAACTCAATGATATTTGACATATATTTTCAACCAAGGGATTGTTGTACTAAAAAAATTTTAAACAATTGAAAGCAAGTATATATTAAAAACAAGAACAAAATGGATATGTAAAATTCCTCTACCTAGCTTGCCAAAAGAAAGAAAGAAAGAGAAAAGAAGTAAAAAGAAAAACTCTTACAATATCAAAATTTTCTATGGGGCCACGCCTCAGTCCCCTCTTATGGGGACAGAAATGAAGAGTTTCGTTCCATTTATTTCTCAAGAATATCCTCTTCATCTTCCTTTATGAACCCAAAAACTGAAGACCTCGTTGTTTCACTTTTTATTTATATTTTAAAAATTAAGTTTATAAATATTATTCTGTATTTATTTATTATACTATACTTTTTTTAAAATATTTTCAAAATCTAAGTCGAAAATGTGTTTTTGTTTTTAAAATTTAGTTAAGAATTCATTCCAAAAAGAGGTCAAAAACATACATGAAATTGGAAAACTAAAAATGAAATAGTTATAACATAATAAAATGTTTATTAGTTTGATTAAATTTTAATTTTAATAAATAATTGGAAATGGAAAAAAATATATAGATATATATTTCGAAATAATTGGAAATAGAAAACAATTTTCCCCCCAAATTATTTTGATACCTCTGCACTAACTTAGACAAATGAAAAAAAAAAAGAGTAACGTAATCATAGGAACCACAAAATTGGGACAATGTTGATCATGACATGAGATCAAGATCCAAAATTTTAAACCAAGGAGAGAAGATGAAATTGCGAGGAGGAAAGCACCACAAACAAAGTGAAATTGCATGGGGAACAATTTCGAGCTACACAACAACTAAGTGTGAGACCCATTAATTGAAGCAGAATCCTAACAATACACACCAATAATTGAGACTGAAATTTGTTGAAATGGACTTGTTTTCTCTTTCAAAAAAAGAAGTTGGCCAATTCAGGATGTGACAGAGATGATTGCTTTACTTGGGAAAAAGGAACTTAGCTTTTTTAGAGATGTGATAGCAATTAGAATGTTGATGCAACAGATTAGAGAAACAAATTCCACATCCAAACATGAATATACATGATAAAATAAAAATATTTCCATGGTTAATATTTAGCCTAAAAAACTAAAAAACTAGTGTGAGGAGAGTTGGTTTAAAAGGGGAGAATGAAATGAACTAGTTGCTCATTTCTCCAGAGTCCAGAGGCCTAGAATGGAGCAGTTTCATTATAGTTCTCAAAGAAGAGAAGAAGCAGAAGCAGAGGAGTTCAGTTTGAGAGAATGGCCAGTTAAGGCAAGGATCAAGTGCGAGAGCACAAGTTCCAGAAGGTTTTCGGGTTCTTATATAAGAAGCTTTAGGGAAGATGGCAGATCCTTCAGATCAAACATAACCATCTCCAGCACTGCTTCTTCTCCAGGCTACTCCATGAGAGGTACTTCAATTAAATTACTTCCTCTCTGTTTCTGATCTTCAACTCTTCATCTTCTTTTTCTTGCTTTCTTTTGCAGAAGAAATTGACCCATCAACCTACTCATTCACTGCTGCACTCAAAGGTAAGAAATCACTCCTTTTGGCTCTAAAATGTCAAAACTTGAACCTGGGTTTCAGCTGGGATTGATAGTACATTGGGTGGGTGGGTTTCTGTACAGCATTGCAAGCCAGGTCAAGTTATAATAGCTGGGAAAGCTTGTCACCAGATGGGTTTTCTTTGAACTCAAAGTGGTACGAAGCAGAGAAATATATTTGCAATCCTCTTTCAGGGGAGGTTCCAATGGAGTGTTTATCTGCGAAAACACTCAGCGCAAGGTCATTCAGAAACTTCAGAACCAGAATCACCATGTCTGCTCCTTTAGTTTATTCAACCAACTCCAGACTACTCCATGAAAGGCCAATTACTTCTCCACAGGAAGAAGCAGTTCATCAGTATCCAATTCCAGGTACCATCGTTTATTTCTTCCTCCTTTCTTATAGTATGCTTTGAAAGATTTTGGATTCAATATCGAACAAGTTTTCCTTGTTCAAGTTGTAGAAAAGAAAGTGGAAGGGATGACTAAGGATGTGGGAACTCAAAGCACACCACCTGACCGAAGTTCAGCAAGTCCTAGCCCTGCTTCTACACCTCCCATTAAAGAGAGATCGTTAAAGGCATGTGGGAAAGAAGAAACTGCTTCACCAAATTCTAATTCCAAACCAAAAAATAAGTCAGAGGATGCAAGGGTATGTACATTCTTTGATCCTTCAAATGATAATCATGATTTAGCATAAGGAAGATCAAAGGAGCTTGAAATGACAAGATTAATATACAAATCCAACTAATCAAGAAACCTAGGGAGAAATTTTAGGCTGATTAACCCGTTCCCCAAAACATTAAGAGTGCTAATAGTAATCATTTTGATGTTTCACTCTCTTCCTCGTTAATTGTGCATTTCTATAAATGGGGCCGTCAAGATTAGGCTTGGCTGATTCAGATTGATGTTGTAACAAGATGGAGAAGTGTAAGAGTAAAATTGGGACCACGCTTTGGTTCTTAGCATCTTCCTGTAGGCTCTAGTTTACAGACCTATAATTTTCTCCCATGGCTGTCTGCTCCCCAACAACTCATACAGTTGTGGTTGTCTCTGTTTCTGGGAAGCATTATCCGGACAGCAAAAGAATCAATCAGATGGGAAGAAAAACTGTGGACTATAACCAAGAATATATCAGTAACATGAGCAAAGCCAACTTAACAAAACATATTTCCAAGTCCCCAACTACCATAAACTCTGTACCAAACACTTCACAATCCCACTTCCCCAACCATCCCCCCTTGCTTTATTGTGGAGCCCATCGAGATTCTTTCCTGCAAAATACAAAATGGGTTCTCGCAGTTTCTGCTGCTTTATGTTGAAATTTCTGCTTTATTTCTCTCTTTCTGGAAAAAATGGTTATGAATTTGAAGGACATGGTCAAATGCCCAAAATAATGAAAAAAAAGGGTCTCTGAATCATTTCATCTGTCATTCATAAGACATCCACATGCTTGTACCTCAATATCAGAAAGTATAATTTCAAAATCAGTCCTCAGGTGAAAGGGCCGGGATTCAAGGGAAAAACTAAAAGTGAAAAGAAACAAAAAAGTAAAACGAGAAAACAGTTTTCAATTATTATAGTTGAGCAAAAGAAGTGACCATTCTGGATTTTGTTTTACTTGTACTGATTGAACTGCGATTCATCATTTCATCAGTATCTTAACATTGTTTGGTAAGATTGCGGCTTACGGGTCATAATTATTAACCTTTTTTTTTTTTGGCCGTAACCACAAACAATAGCTTTCAGCTGGGGAGGAAAAATAGTAACAACTCTAAATTAATCAAAACTTCACTTTCATAGTGAAATATAAATGAGCCTCTAAAGATCACTTAGTTGTACTGGTACAGTCCTTGACGTGTCTAATCTTCTCATTTTAGGCATAAAAATTTCATTCCAACAAAGAGATATTGCATTGCATCTCTCTCTTTCTTAAAGTTTGAACATTTTCTACAAATCTCCAGGAGGGTCATGATCACACATGACATTGCCTAAATTAGCAAATATAAGAGAGGAGATTTCCCATTCTCCTCAGATTCATGCATAACAGTGATGAGTCTAATATGAGTGCAGGTGGCAATTAAAGCAGGAAAAGAAAAGGAGATGACAAAAGGAGAAAAGGGAGATAGAAACAATACAAACGAGCAAACGTGGAGGCAAGGTGAAGGTGGGTGCCTGTCATGGATGAGAACAAGACAGAGAGATAAACACAAAACAAGAAAGAAGAATTTTTTACCTCATTTGAAAGGGTGCTGAAAAGTTACTGAGAAAATGGCAAAAGGAGATTCTCTTCGTATTTCAGGCATATTTTTGCAGGTGTTAGTGGGGTGTTTAGAAATTAAGGGCGGGCAATCATGGAGAGGGACCTCTGGCCTGCGGAGGAAGGTTAGGGTTTTAGTTTGGTGGTTCTCTGCTTTAGTCTTGGTGCCGAATGATATTATTTTTTGTTTATTGGGATGGTGAAAGTTGGGAGCAGCTTTCTCCTTCTCACTTCACGTGCATGCCTTTGTCTTTACCTTTACACAAACCAAGCTTTTAATGAGTAGGATTACTAATTTCATAAGCTTTCATTAGTCGCTAACAAGTGAATCTTCTATCAAAATCCAAGATATTGGTCCTCTAATACATCAGATAAATCATAAATAGATATCTAAAGTGTAAGGGAAAGGCAAGTGGTTCATGAGCTAATACCCAGTAGTGAAATTTTTAAAATTATGTGTTTAGCTTATTGAACTTTTTAAATCTTTTATCTATTTTCCACTAATCATTAAATTTGGTGTCTGCCGTAGATATTTTATTTTAAAGTTAACTAAAAAGTCTTCGTAAAAATTTAATTAAAGAGATGTAACCCTATTTATTACCTAGGTGTCCAAGTAAAATCGAGATTACCAGGTGTCAGAATGTAAAGACAAACAGAAAATAAGTAAAAATTTAAGTACGAAAACTATATTTGAACAACAAACTAATCAATATGAAACAACATTTTTAATTATTCATATATATATATGAAATAAGATCGTGCACGGCATGATGACAAAAATCCTCTCAATGGCAGATATCTTCCATTCCAACTTGAATTTGAGCCATTGGATCGCACTTTAGCCGATCTTCAATTGCTCGTCCATGTCCAAAAGAACATTCAGAGATGCCCCTTCTAAAGAATCGAAAGAATTGTATTTCCCTGGCCCGTCTAGTTGAGTTGAACAATTTACTTTTATGTACTCAATTATCACCCATGATTTCCCTCTTTCCATGGGAGGTCCAATGAAAGTTCCTCGTCTTAACCATAGAAGGGATTCGAAGGAAATGCCATCTCTTCGATTAGCAAAATTTGACCCTCGATGGGATGTCCGTAGTGGAGGTTTCACGTGGACATGACCCTCGACAGAATATGTAAGAATAGATTCTAATGACTATCGAAAGGGAAATATATTTCCAGAAAGCAGCAGCTTGAAGAGAACTTTAGGAGTAGCAAGAGAGGGAAGAGCCAACAGTTATAGATCTCTAAAACCCTATTTTCAGAAATCTAGCAACTTAGAGAGACACCTATCAGGCTTCAATAAAAGGCATAATAGCATTTAATATCAAGCCCAGGAGAGAAGCTTTGAATAACAGTTGTAAGGGGTAGGGGATCAAACTCACAACCTCGAGGTATATGCCAATTACCGCTAAGTTACCCTCATTTTGACAAGAACAATGTTTTGTTGGTCTCATTGCCATAAATGAAATTAAATGATCGATAAGATAACCAATCTTTGATATAAGATAATTAATGATAAATCACTGATTGGCAGATAGAAGTCTTCTATTTTTTGAATGAGACTTCAAAGCACCAGAATAAGAAAGTCAATCCTCATGTATCAAATTATCAATGTGTAAGTAGGGCTCTATTACTTCCAGCAAATTGTGACAACAGCTACATTCAACATGGCGTATGCAAGCCCACAATGCACCATGTTTACGGGCACGTGTGCCGCATTGGGTGCTTTTTAGGGTGCAGGTTGCACTATGCAATGATATATTTCTTAATTCTGATATTATTCCAAGGTTAAATTTTATTAATCAAATAACCAAGAATGCATCACGTGAAGGAGTTTCCAAAAAGGTACAGATAGTAGTGTCCCATTTTTCCTTTTAGAACAAACCCTTTTTGCACCATCTGCTTCATTATCTTTTAGGAAGGAAACCATTTAGATGTCATTCTTTTCACTCTTCCTAATCCTTTTGTCTATATTTTTGTACATTTTATAAACATTAGAGATCGGATTTAACATTTAGATAGCATGGGTTTCCAAAGAAATATTGATGCTTACCAGAACTTCACAAGTGGACAGCAGTTTGTATACTAAATGAAACCAATATATGTAGCAGAATTTGATTTAACCGTATAATTTATGATGGTGAAGCACTGGGAATAGTGTTAGAAATAAGTCGGACTTCATACAGCTCATTCTCTCCCTTCCCTGCAAAAGTTTTAAAGCAATGTTCACACAAAACATTCAGTATATATATATATATATATATTATATATATATATCTTTTTTTTTGTGGGATAAACACGCAAAACATTCAGTTAACAATAGTATAATGACGGGAGAAAAAAAATAATTATGTCATGCATAATGCTCACCAACTTCTGCAGTGATCCCTGGTCCAAAGAAAGAAGCAAATTTTGCCTGCAAATCCATCATAAAGACACTAGATTAGTGATTGTTCACTTTCCAATATAATGTCTTCACGCAGTTGCAAGCCTTCGGTAAATTATTGTTTCATTTAAAATGACAATAAGCCTTAATCATCATGACTACATCAACGTAGCAAAATTTGGGTTTTGAGCAATTAAATATAATCCCATAGAAAATTAAAAGGTACAAAAATCCAGCAGCAATCGTTGTTCAACCATATAAGAAAAGGCATGCGTCAATTACTTGTCTTTGCTCAAAATCTGACAATGCCAAGGCTTTTGCTTCGAACACCAAGGTCAGGCAATACTTTCCATCTTCTGTGACCTAGAATTGTAGCAAATGGCATAACATTACAATCGATATTGCTGATATTATACTATTGTATTTGGTAGAGAAGAATCATAGTACGTCCAGTTGGGTACAATGAAATAAATACAGAGTCATATAAACATACTTCTTCACGAATACTTTGCAAAATAGGAGCGCTCCTTCTAGGAATTCCCCCAGCCTGTGTATACAAAAGTAGAATGAAATAAAGAACAGTGTACAAAAATTGATGTAAAAGCATAAAAATGAAGATTCAAATACAACTTATGCAATTTTACATTAGATTGTGAAAGAAACTTCTATCTGGATTTTTGTATCTGATCTTCTTCAAGTTTTTCAAGTTCAAGATAACCAAATGAAAAAATAAATAAATAATAATAACAAGTAACAAGTAACAACATGATGACATGAAGAGAACTTATAAGTTTAGAAGCCTTATCCGTACAGGCCATTAAGTGCAATGTACATTGAAAACCTAAAATAAAATCTAAGAACAATACATTTTGTTCACTTATGGATAACCGTTGAAGAAATTGATCCAGCCAAAGTACCAAAAGAACAAGTTCATCAAGTGCCCATACCTTAAAGTCTTATGAATTTATTAAATATCAAACTGCTAACTGTTTAGAAAGTTAGGGTACAAGCAGAGGAGATGGACATGACATGTATATATTGAGAACAAGTTCATCAAGTGCCCAACATGTAAATCTTCAAAAAGTTGAGACTTGGATACCAAAATCTATTTGTATATTTTAATGGATTTCAATTTTTAATCCTTCCCATGCTGAAAAGTTTACAATTAAAATAGATGTTTACATTTTAAAAACAACACAAAGCAGAGACAAAGTACATGATAACTAAGAGAAGTTGAAGAAACCAAATACATAATGACGATGCAACATCTCATACCAAAGCTTGTAAAGAAAATGTATAATCAGAGAAATGTACTTCTAAATAGATCAATGCCTCGTAAGTATATAAAATCCATTAGCAAATATGTCTATAAAATTATATTTTCAAAACCAGAAATATAATATGTTGTCCAAACATCATAGATCTCTGTAATATATTTGGTTATGTCAAGCACCCAAAACTAATTATAAAACCTCTAACAGTCTATTTAAGCGTCCAACAAAAGATTGGAGTCTTGCAGTGTGTATTAAGTGACAGACATCCAAAACTAACAAGTAAAAACCTCATAATGCATGATAGAAGCTAGTTTCACCTATTACTTTGTCTTTTGCTGTTTGTCACATTTACCAATCAGTCACTCTTCTTCATTGTTGATCAATTTGCTGATTTGTTTATTAGCTTACTGTTTTGGTCCATTAGTTTGTAAATTCGCTGTTGTAGTTACAATGTCGTGGGGTTAGCAATTTAGTTAAAAGGTAGCCCCTGTATAATGGGTGCAACTTCAATGCCTTTGTAAATACTACTTTCATAATAATAAATATTGAAATAATCATCGAGTGTTGGATGCTAGGCTGCATCCTTCAAAAAGAGTGCAAATGGTTGGTAAGAGGGTATCTCAATATTTATTTATCATCAGTTTCAAAACTACATCAAAATGCATGTTCGTGGACCTATTTATTGGAATCTTTACTGAATCCATAATTCAGATGGGACAAGCATAGACCAGCCAGCGAAATTAGTCAGCGTCTAGTGGTGTATTGAAGTTCTAGTTTCAGAACAAATGCTACAGCTAAGCAAAAGTGGAGCCAACTTTCTACACCGAACACAAATGCAGGAGTCTTTTGAATCAATATGTTGCTAATGAGATAAGGTCACCAAAAGCATTATGGAATTACTACCACGTAGTTTTCAAAAAACGTGATCAAAGATCACAAGAAAGAATATTCAGAGTTATGTCAGTTTACTTACCAGACCATACTGGAAAATCCGTTTCAATGCCTCATCCAAATGTTGTTCATCCCCATAACGGTACCTTATCACATCATCCCTTACCTAGTGGAAAATATTAAGAGGTGGTTAATTTTTTTTTTTTTTTTTTTGATAAGAAACAATTTCATTCATGGATGAAATTATAAAGAGAGGGGCGAACCCACCAAAAACCAAAGGAGTTACATAAAACTTCTCCAATTGGATAATAAAGAGCTCGAACTATAAGAATGAAAATAGTGTGTTGATCTACACCAAGACATAGCATGAAAAGTAATATTATCAAAAAGGGCGATGAAAGGCAGATCTTTATCTAGGAATAGTCGATGATTCCTTTCATTCCAAAAAATCCAAAGAAAAGCTCGAATATGAATTTATACAACAAAACTTGTGTATGTACAAAGTGACTATGTATTGGAAACAATGGTAGTTAAAATCGAAAGTGACATATTACTCAAGTAACAGCCAAAGTGAAACAAAAGGCAAGCTTTTTGTTCTTAGTGAATAAATTGACAACTTTCAATAATAATCGGGAAAGATAATATTCACACAAAACGATAAATTCCATCTTCCCCAAGTTGTATTACACTATTTACCAGATGAAATTTCATCTTTAAAAACCGAATTGACTAGATGAAGAAACCCTAAACAAAATAATAAACAAGATATCATGGAAACAGTAAATAAAACATGACAAGTCTCAAATGGAAATCTAAGTGACAAACAAAAAGAAACAGAAATAGAGGGAGTTCGGGAGGCCTTAAACCCTCCACAATCAGCAAAAAACCAGACTGCCCTCTTCCCTTCTTCCTATACCTTAAATTCCTCAGCATTTCTCTCTTCTGCCCCTCCTAACTAAGTATAATAGCTTCCTACAATTATGGGCCCGAATTTCTCTCTTAGACATTCTAATTACACTTTTGTCCCTCTTCTCCCCGTACAAGTATAAATGTACAAGCTAGGGGTCTATCAAAACAAGCACTCACAAGAGAATATAATTACAAAATATTTTACTAAAATGGCTATTAGAAATAATCAAATTCCATGAAAGAACCTGTTTGAGAATAGGGGTGGCACATGTTTCCCTCAGCTTTTGAGCATCTAAATATGTCAAGCATGGCACTGGTTTGAGTTCGGCATACTGCAAAATACTCAAAAGCAAGAATGAGTTACCTGATCTTTTTCTACCAATTATTTTCCTTTTCAGCTCAAGTTCATGAAGTTAAAAATGAAGCAATACTGCAAGACCATTTCAGAAAGTAAATAAGGAATGAAACATAGAAAGTGGATGAACACCAACATGACAATTTTTTTTAAAACACCTACCAGTAATTGTTTGGTAATATCTTGAACTTGGATCAGCTATTGAGTTATGACTCATATAGGATATAGAAAAGCTGAAATGGACCTGGATATATACGTGGCTACAATAGCCACTAAAAGCATATATTTATCACACAAATGCCTAATCACACTGCAGGAGGGAAAAAAAAGTTATACCTTGAGAGCCATGCCAATAATAGCAAGAGGGAAACCATAGGTTAACATAATGGCAGACCATTCAGATCCTGGGAGGATATTAAAGTATGCACCAAATCCATACCTGTAGAATGAAAATAAATCACATGTACAAGTTATGAATTAAGGTATTTTTGAGTCCTGAGGAGGAAACAACTTACGACAACAAAGAAATCCCAACACCTAAGCCAATAACACCAAATGAAACCTGAAAAGAAACATAAATACCAAAATAACAGATCAAACAGACATACAAAAATTATATCACGATGCATAAAAGAGAAAAGGGATGCATAGAGGGAAGCTACTTAACTCATGTCAAAGAATGTTGGAGGTTAACAACACCACTAGTGAACAGAAAATAAATGTATATTGCTATTAAAGGCAAAAATTAAAATCAATATACTGCCACGACTATCTTGGATACAGCTTCACCATTGCAATTCAGGGTACCAACCATCCTCCAGCTCCCATAAATATTTTCTTGCATTAAAATATCAAAGTATCTAATGTCTACGAGATTATTCCAAATATTTGGGACAATTTATTTTTCTATGTTGAGAACATACTAAATGTTTATTTTGTCCTAGTTTAATCGATTAAATTTGAACATAACAATAATTTAATATAGTATCGATAATGAAATTTTAAATCCAAATCTCTACAACACTATATATATGTATATCTTATCGACAAAAATTGGAGAGAAGTATCTTTCCTTCTCTTTCCCCTCCTCCAAGCGCATGAACAATTCTCGCTAGAACAACCAAGAGCTCCATATAATAAACGAAATAAGCTAGTGAAAAATGCTAAAGGCAGGGAAAATCAACACGAGGTCCCGTAAAATTTAAACACTACACTTGACTTTCAAACATCTCCTCTCATTTCATCACAACCATTCTCAACACAGAACTCAGGAATTCCAATCCAAATGCTACCTAGGGGCGTCCGATTCATATACTCTTCAAGAATTCAGAACCATAGAAAGTTAGAAACGTACTTTCGCGAGCGAGAATTCATCATCAGTGACTACTGCTCTGTCTGGCGAGGCTGAAACCGAAGACGGCTGAGTTGAATCAGCAGCTCTAGCGGAGAATGTGAAATCCAAACGCTGACGCTTCTGCACAAGCGTTCTCGGTTCCAAATGGACCAAAAACTTTGCTCCGCCGTTGCAATTACCACCGGCGGGGCGGGAGATTGCGCGACAGGAATGCAGAGAAGCAACGAAGAGGCGATTGCCGAGACTGAATTGATCACGGGAGCAGAGACCAGCGGCTGGTGAAATTCCACCCATTCTTCTCTCTGAAACTCTGAAGAACGCAGATGAATGTGAAGCTTCGGTTGCTAGAGAAAGAAAAACGAAAATAGGATTCGTTGCTCAACCCGCCAATTTACACTACGTGTCCTCATATTATCCCCCACTTTTTTTTTTTCTTTTTTTTGCTTCCTTATTTTAATGAATTAGAAAAAAAAAACGTTTCCTTTTTTTTTAATACAGGAGTTTCTCACAGTTGCTCACCTTGAAGGCTTGAATGGCCCAATCGAACGAATCTATTCTATTTGCTTAATTGATTATTCATTTACTTAATTTGTATAATTTTAAAGATTAAAAGTATTTTAATGAATTGTCAGAAAGATAGCTCATATATTTTTTTATAAAGATTCGTGAGTTTGTAACCTTTCAGGTTGAATTAAAAGAAATATATGATTCGATCCGCTTCATTTTTATTAATTTTACTAATTTGTCGATCAATTTTATTCTATTCAAATAGTTGGTTGCATTTTTAAAAATTTTATTTGACAATTTGTACCTAACAATTTTTATATTTTATTTTTAAACACCATGATAAGCGAGTTATCGACTCATCGAATAACTATTTGTTATTTTATTCTTTAAAAAACAGGACACCGTGATAAAATAAATAAATAAAAGACAAGTTTCAATTAAGAGTAATTTAGCCACAAATTAACAAAAGCTTCTCTAAAATCTCTTGAGCAGCCTCAAATATCTTCAAAAGCATTCCTCTTTTTTAAAACGTCAAAGTAAAATTTTATATTATAAAAAAAAACCCCATAAGTGCCAAATTAAACGATGGAAAATTTCCTAATATATATATATGTATTAACATGGAAAAGAAATTTTATTCCATAACTTCAAATTCATAAACCATAAAGAGTAAATTTCTGAAAATAACAAAAAATAAAATTAAAGTAAAAAGGGCTAACCTATTAAACAGAAAGTAAAAGTGTGGAAGTAAAAATAAAATTAATGTTGGTGATAGGTCGTGACTTCCAAATCCTAAATTTGAGGGCGAACTTTAGCAAGTTGTTGAGGTACATATCTACTCCAGAACCAATGTTGTCTCCAAATGCACGACATGTCTTCAATGGGGATGCCCTTTGTTTATGCAAGGATATGCACAACAGTGTATTTCAGATTGCAGCTCGAACTCGGCATCCGGACCGATCTGARTACTTGGGCGGACCTGCACAAAAAGGTGAGCACTCCGACGATCAAGTCAGTATAGGTCGGATTCCCAGTTTAGTTCGAGGTCAGAAATCATCGTACCTGATCGTGGAGTGAAGTCCTCTACTTATGGGTGGTAGTCCCGCTAATCTCGCGACGGTTACACCCGGTAATCTCGGGACCGTCGGTTACACCCGGTAATCTCGGGACCGACGGTTACACCCGATAATCACGCCGCTGACAGTAGCTCACATCGGCCCCCACCGAGCTTCCCGGTAGGTCGGACCTCGGCCAGGTTCACCTCGGCCCTCATACTTAGTATCTGTCAACGCTAGTGCTGGTGATCTCGGCGGTCCGAGCTGGGGCATGACTCATGGTCACCTTGGGGCACCAATGGCTGCCCTCCACGTGTCCAGGGTACTCTTTCCCCCAAACACCGGAGACAACAAACACCGTTTGTCTCCGGTAAGAATAAATAGATGAATATGGTCATCACAGCCACGAAGAAAGCAAAGAAAAAGAACAACCCAAATTTCATATGGCAAAGCATGGTGAGGAAGATTTGGGCAATCAAAAAAGTAAAGAACATGTTCACCGACACTGTTACACTTTGAGCAGCCGATCAAATTTCGAGGGGGAAGATTTCGCTTGGAACTAGCCATCTCAAAGGTCCCCAAGACCATGCAAAGGCTTGAACATATATGCAAATGAACAGCACTACAACACCAGCATACCACTTGGGTAAATAAGCAACTTCACCAGAAACCCCAAATTTCCAAACAATAAACACAGCCACCAAAACCTACAAATGATATCATGTTTATTAGAATTGAATCAATCATGAGAGAAAAAGCTTTTGAAGAACTATTATTGATCAAGCATAATTTGGCTAAATTTTGTTCTAAAAAACAAAATAATAGCAGCTATAGGATTTGAAGGGACGAAATCTAACAAAAATATTAAATTTTCAATCACCTGGAAAATGAAACATGATGGTTCCACCGAGCAAGAAAAGAATCCTTCTTCCCCACTTATCAGTACCATACACGGATACAAAAGTTGCCAAAGCATTGATAGCACCCGTAATGACAGATGAAAGAAGAGAAGCATTGTCTCCAAATCCAATAGTCTTGAACAGCACAGGAGCATAGAACATGACCACATTGATCCCTGTCAATTGCTGAAAAAATGGGATTAAAACCGACATTACCAATTGTGGTCTATTTTGCCTCTCCATCAAATTCTTCCATGGACGTGTCACTGCTTTAGCAGCAATACTTGCTGCGACAATGTCTTGAAATTCTGCATCTATATCCTTGGAAGTCACACCACAGATGTGTTGGAGCATAGCTCTTGCCTTCTCGATTTCGCCTCTCTCTAACATTGAAGTTGGAGTATCGGGAAGAAACAAAGCTGAGATTGTTATGAACAATGCAGGCACTGCTGCACCACCTAGACTCACGCGCCACCCCCATCCACCATGAATCTTGGCAGTGCCATAGTTCACAAAATTAGCTACCAGAATACCAATAGTAATCGATAATTGGAAAACAACATTGAGAGAGCCTCGATATTTAGAAGGAGTCATCTCCGATACATAAAGTGGAACAGATTGAATTGAAAATCCAACACCAACGCCCAAACAAATACGACCGATAATCAGCATTGCAATGTTCTGAGCAGCAGCATTAATGGCAGCACCAACCAAGAACACAAAGCCACCAAGAAGCATCGACTTTTTGCGATCAAAGGTTTTGGTGATCCAAGATGCTACAAAAGAAGCCAAAAGTGCAGCCAAATAAAGAGAAGAAGTGAACATGGTAAGGGCAAGACTATCAAACTTGCAATACTGATTAGTAGAATTATCTGAAGCTTCTTTCTCATAAACAGATGGAAAAAATTTCTGCAAAAACGGAGCCATGGACGTGACGCCACCTGACCACAAAAATAAAATAAAATAAATGTAATAAGTGAAAATTGTAGGGAAAAAGAAATAAATTGCTTATTGTAGAAATTTTTCCACAAAAAAGACGAAAAGCAAAAAGCGTAAACACAGAACGGCTTATTGGAGAAATAAATTTGCTTTTTTTTAGAATAAATAAATTTGAGATAAAGGATTTGCTTATCGAGGCATCTTCTACATTTTCTAAGAAGTAAATTTAATACATAAATTTTATTCTTCGTTTTTTTAGTATATCATAAAACTTTCATTGTACTAGAAACAAAAAATAACTTTCATCAATTTCAATTACCATGTTTATTTTTCATAAAAATTTATCAAACGTACTTTTAATATTGAATTAATTTATCTAATAAAATATCATGTATTTCTAAAATGAACCTCACACTTGTCTATACTTTAAGTTGGTCCTATATAAACAATTATTTGATTACCTGAGATACCAATGTCGTAATCGAAGATTAGTCCACCCATGATAGCAACAATGCAAGTTATCAACACGTAAGAAGTGAGTTCTCCAGGATAGTTTTTTATCGATCCACCTTGATTACTACTAAGCTCGAAACCACCACCAGCCATCTTAGCTAGCGCAACCCCATAAATCAAAGAAAAGAAGTAGTAAATATGGATGAAGACTTAGAAAATAAAATAAAAGAAAAATTGGGGAGCGTGAAAAGAAAAGAGGCCAATGGGAGAATATATAGGCAAATATTTCCCAAGATAATTAGGAATATGTTTCCTACTTAATTACCAAGAAGAATATATAGGCAAATATTTATAATTAGGAACAGGTTTCCTACCCAATTACCAAAATCCGTTTGTAGATAAAATAATGGATAATGAGATAATTAAGATAATTAAGATGAAAATTCTAAAAATATTTGTTTATGATATAATATCGAGTCATATAAGTAAATATTTATTTTTTAAATATAATTTTAAAATTTATAAAATAGCATAGTTATAATTAAATCAAATTGAATTACTATATAATTCAACATAAGCTATATTTTTTTTTAAATGAAAAGTTGTAATATTTTTGTGATATATACTAAATTTATGCTATTTAATAAAATTTTGTTATAATAATACATTTGCTTAAAAAGATAATTAAGTCGATATAGTTCACTTTGTCATGGAACTTAAATTTTAGGTTCAGATCAAGTTTTATATTAATAGAAGTGAGATTTTATATTTTCATAAAATAAAAAAGGAAAAATATCAATTCTAACCTTGGATGTGCATAAGTTCTGCAGTAAGTATTTGCAAAATTTACTGTTTTTTTTTTCTTTTTTGACAGGAGCAAAATTTACTGTCGGATAGATTTTCGTTTGGAAAAAGTATTATTAGATGAGATTGAAAGAATTGAGATAAATCCAATATTTGATTGACTTTTTGGTTGAAATTTGTAAGTTTTGATTTCATTCTATTTATTTTTTGGATTTCTAGCTTTCAAGTTCGTGTCTAATAAATCTGTAAATTTAGAAAAAAAAAGAATATATATATATATAAAATATTGGTAACAAGTTAGACACAAAATTGAAAGTTGACATTTATTAGACACTTTAAAAAATCTATAAACTATTAGATACAAAATTATAAGTCTAAAAACTATTAGACATGATAATTTATGTATGAACTTACGGTCTAACTCGTAAGATTATATCTTTAAGAAGTATCTAATAAGTTGTATCGTAGAAGTTATTGAATTTTTTAGTTTGTGTGTTTCCATGTTCTGAAAGTTTTGAAAAAAGAAGTTAAAAAAAAAAAAGAATTAAGAAATTCTGAAGCTAACCCTTTAGAATTTCAAAAATTGGTTTGCACAAAAAAGAAGATAAATTTAATTTAAAAAAAATTAATCTCTAGTGATAATTCAATTGTTAAAGTTCAATTACATTTTTTAAATAAGACAATGCGTGGGAGTAAGGATTCGAACTCTTAATCGAAGATAAATACTTTAACAATTTAAACTAAATTCAAGTCGGTATTAAAGTTAGGTGACACACTATACACAAATTTTAATTAAACTTTTTTAATAATGGGGATAGAAAATCAAATTTTTGATGATGCGGTTGAAAAAAAGAACGATAAATATAATTTTTTTATCCTGATAAGTTGTATCTATTTTCATCTCAAACTTTTAATTTCACGGAATTGAACAAAAAATTTAGATAATTATTGTATTCAATCCCATCGATTCACCTACTAGTTTTAATAACAAATAATGTAAAATAACTTAAAAAAACTTTTCCTCTAAGTCACTGTCTTTTATATAAATACCAAACCGATATCACTTCGTCTCGCACAGGCACCGGCTCTCGTTAGCGACTTGCTCAAGAAGTTTTCTCAAGCTTGTTCCTTGAAGAAAAATGGAGTCTTCGAAGACGATAGCCCATGAAATCGGGGGGATCCAGAACGATGCGCTTCGATTCGGTCTTCAAGGCGTTAAGAGCGACCTCGTCGGATCTCATCCTGTCGAATCCCTTTACGAAACTGTAATTTCCTCTCTCTCTCTCTCTTTCTCTCGCGATTTTAGACAATGCAGAAAAGTAAAGTGGAAGTAAATTTCTTCAATCTGAGTTGCCCTATTTGATTTCTATATAGATTCCTCTGTTTAGTCATTGCAGTTACACAAGATTGTTATTGGGAATAGAATCTAGGTTGGATTGAACTGATGAACCACTGTTTGCCTGAGTTGCTTGGATTAGGAACTTGTGATTTGAAGTTCTATTTCCTGTCTACCGGTCAATTTTCTACTTTTACCTCCCTTCTTTTAAATTTATGAGAGCCCCATCTTATAAAATTTTGTAAATATCTCATCTTGTAGTTCATTTCTTCACTCAGAAATGTGCGTGACGGAGGGATTTATCCCATGTGCCATTTGACCCTTATATAGGAAAAACCTTCTGAGAATTCCATTTTGAGTTTTTCTGGCTAAGGACACCGGAGCAAATAGGTTATGATCTCAATAAGATTGCTATGAAGAGGACTAGGAGCATCCATAATATTATTAACCCTATCGGGACTTGGAAGTAGTGACCATTCACTAGTCATTATGAACCTGTTAGCACACTTGAGGAAGGGACCAAGTTTAAGAAAAGCACCAGAAAGTCTCTTTTGTCTTTTATACAGGGTTGGGATGCTTCTCCCTTTGCATTTTTCTTCTTCATTTGCTAATAGACTTCTTTCTTCCCCAGTCTAACATGAAATAAAATTCCATGCAACATCAGAAAACATTGGGCTTTGCTTTGCCCCAGATTAGTTATGAGCTGAACTCTTAAATTTTTCGGATAATTTTAAGACGTTGAAGTTGGTTTAGTTGCTAAAAGACCATGATGCATCCACCGAGCAAGGTGTATCAACCACTATTTTCTTTTTAACACGTGAAATAAAAAAAGCAAAGCTTGATTATTGAACTAGTAGGTCAGGTTAGAATAATTTCTTTCAATTTGATAGATGTATACTTTTTTTTCTCTTGATTTAGACAAGGAGAACAGACGAGGAGATGAAGAGGAAAATTCTTGTGAATACATATGGATCTGCTTTTCCACTGAAGATGGATTTGGACAGGCAAATTCTTTCTCGGTATGGTTATTCTCCTTGCATAGATGTTGTATCTCTTCTGGTGTGGTCTAAATCGAGAACTTGTTAAAAATAAATATTACACCGAAATTTGCAGTTTTGTTATGGACCATTTTTTAACTATAATCACTTCTCTAATTGTTGTTTTTATAATGATTGAGTGCAGAAAAAAGGTTACACCTAACTTCATTGACTCTTCTACCTCCTGTGATTTCCTCTTCTTATGCATGTGAAATCTATACTTTCTAGCCCCAAATATATCAGTATATGGCATGAACGACATATATTAAACCATTGGATGCAGTAAACGGATCTCTTTGTTATTTTCTTGTGGGAAATTCATTAGACCACTGTAATGTGAATGTTTGCAATAACTGGAGATGTGGTGGGAGCACTTTTCCCCCTCATTCCATGATATGCTAGTGGGTGCCATGAAAATAGGATGTGCCTTGTGGAGATGATGTTTGATGTGCATGAATTTCATTGGGGATGCTCCGTTCTGACCTCTTCATTTTTTTTTTCTTTTTCGCCAACATCTCTACCTGTGATGCCCAAGTCAGGCTAATTTAAGCTGTTTGTCTAGTTGGGACTTAGCAGTCATTTGTTAATATAATTTCAATTCTAACTTAAAGCTATTGCAGATTTCAGAGGCCTCCAGGAGCTATTCCATCTTCCATGCTGGGTTTGGAGGCTCTTACAGGAAGCTTGGATGACTTTGGCTTTGAAGATTATCTAAATGGTAAGATGAGTATTCTTCAAGTCACCAAGATCCTAATGACTTGTCTGATTCGGTTGTTCTCTATATTGGCATCATTAGTGAGAGTTTTCAATTAATTTAAATATTTCTTTTGATCTTGATAAATTCTTTTATGACTCATAGTAATTTGTCCGACATTGATGGGATAACTAGATCCATGAAGTATGTTCAAACATTGATTACCCCTATTCCTTGAATCTTTCTTGTCTATGAATTTGAGATTCGAATATTTAAGGAGTTTCTTCCTCAGTCTCAACTTTTAAGCATCCATCCTAATACTCCGTTTGATGAAGTTCTTAAGACTTTCAGCCACTTCTGATGTGCAATATGTTGTAATTTTCTTCCTTCTAGTCTGTATTCTCGAATCTTGATTGCAGGCACCTATATGCTGAGGGGGTGAATTTCTTTAGCCTTCCCTTTTCACTTTTCTATTAAACTAACATAGTATAACTCTTGTTGATTTGCTTTTACACGATTCTGTCGAATGCACATTTTTTATAGTAGTCTCTGGTGGTGTATCATTTACAAGTTGTTGTGTGAATGTTATTTGCAGACCCAAGAGAGAGTGAATCTTTGAGGCCATTGGACATGCACCATGGAATGGAGGTCCGCCTTGGGCTGTCCAAAGGACCAGTTTGCCCAAGTTTCATGTGATCAAATCCATAGTTTCCCCATGATTTTATTGACCTCTGTTTGTTTGTTCTATGAGTTGAACCCCTTTAGCTTCTAAGTTCTGTGATCTGTTTGTTATCCCAACTTTTATCTCATTTCTTATAATCAGATATGTGGCTTAGTGAACTCTATATATAGCTTTTGGCATTGTGGCTGTTTTGTCACCTTGTGATTTTCCGATTATGCTTTGGTTGTTACTTGTTTGGTGCATTCTTTTAAGAATTGTTTTTTAAAATTATTTTATATATTATATTTTAAAATTGATTTCTATTGTTTTTTTTTTTTGGAAAATTATTTGAGAATCGTTTTTGTTTTTTGTGTTTCTTTTTTCCAGTTAATATTAAAATATAGTGCATTTGAAAATGTTTTGCGTATGTAATTTTAAAAAATGTCGTAACTTTTTCTTATTTTACCTTTGAGTTTGATTTGGATTTTGCTATTTTTGTTATATTTTAAATTTTCTACTATAGTTGAAAATAAATATTTATTATATGTTATTTATGTAATTTTTTTTTTTTTTTTTGCTGTCTTTTGCTCAAAAGTTATTCTGCCAGACAACTTTTTAAAGTCAAGAACTGTTTTGTATTTTTTAAAACAGAATTTTGTCTTAGAACTTATCTTTCAAAGAGAATGTTTTGAATTATTAAAAAAAACCAAATTTTACTTTTTAATATAGAGAGCTATTTGGATATTGATTTCTAAGAAGATATTGAGTTGAGTAGCTCAATTTATGAGGTAGAGGCATGAAGTTGACATTTTTATTGATATTTCTTTATGTCTGTGTTTGTGCATTGAATTGACATTTTTCTAGTACAGTATAAAATTGACAAAATATTAAAAAAATATTAAAAAATTAATAACTTTTAATTTATTAAAAAAGAGTGAAATGTTTATTTGTTAATTTAAATATTTTTTATGAATTTTTTTCTTATATTTTTTTCAAAAATATCTATAACATCACCTCTTTATCACGAGATTTCTAACATTTTCACCAAAATCRACATTTAAAATATGAGTAGAATTAAGGCGGTGATTCCAAAAAATGGGAGGGAACCACTGACAAATAATCATTACTCCAAATGACTTTAATTCCTCCACTAAGGTAAGGCACGGCTCATCTCATCAACTAACTTGAGAGTTAGCTACTATTAAATCATAACTATTTTTTTTGTAACAGGGCTTTAAAATCAAAATTACGTGAAAAACATGCCAATTGTATTGGGAATTTTGTAAATAGAAACTAAAACGATCACGTATTTAAAAGTACCGAACCAAAATAGAATTTAAATCTAAAATATCATATTTATTTTCAGCTAAAGATTCTGCTTGCTTCTCAACCTATGATGTGAACTTTTGTGTCATGAACCTTTTGAAATCATTCAAGTATCAGAAAAGAACATGGATGAATCAACTCTCTCAATTAAGAATAAAGGCAAGTTGGATTTTGATGTGCTTACGGCAAGAAAGAACTGCCGCTGTAATCCATACACAGTACAAAATACTCGTTCCAGTTCCAGTTATGAGGCAGCATTCTGTTTCATCCTATTCTGCAGGCCCTCTTAAAATCTCGCCTTTGCCGTTGGGCGGAGCTATAACCGCAAGAATTACAAGACCCCCGAGAAGAACAAGAAGGATACCCAATGAATTTATTAGCAAAGCCTCATTCGAATAGCGTAATATTACCTTGCTGGTTTGAAGGAATGTGGCTTTTTCTAACAATCCAGTGGCAGCTGTGGCAATAGAAAGGCCATATGTATAAACGCCAAAGAAAACATGCCATGGCAACAGAGTAGCTCTGCTGTTTCTGGAGCCACCTGGGTACCAGAAAGTTACGAATCCTGCAGTCCACTGTTTAAATGGCGTCCATCCGAATGAATTAGAATCGAGTAGCTCAACAAGCTGGCTAGAAAGTAAATCATACCAACAGAAATTGTGATTTACTAACCTGGATGCCAAAGAGGAAGACGGAAAGTAGGCCCAACCATGAATGCAGACTGTAAAAGTTGTCGATTCCTTTGTCGTTGTGGAACTTCAGGGCAGCCCATACACCAATCAGGCTCAAACAGAATGCAACAAACTGTAGTGAGAGATGAACTAGTTTTCTGAAGTTTTTGGTTCCTGAAGCTGTCTTGTATGCTAACATTGCTGCATCAAACATCTAAGCATGGTGAATAAAACCATTGAAAGCACCAGCATGGAAGGAGAATAATTTAACTCAAGTTTGCGAATGATTTCATAATACATATTTCATACATGATCCTATACTTGACCTTAAGCAGATTTTGTAAAATAGCATATGTTCTGGACAAAATCCAGATGTATTTCCATTCCCAGCAAGCAATAACTTCAGTAAGCAATAGTAACAATCTCATAAACTCGATATCCCTCTCCACCACCCAGGAAATAAAATTGTTCGCACACAGGATGTTCTAGATCAAAAGAGCCCTTTGAATTTGTATCTACTAGTTCCAATTCCCCAATTTTGTGATTTATCATTTTAAGATGGCAGTATTATGATTTCGTAGTCTTATATGTATTTAAATTTCCAGATATAAAACATCGCACTAAAACAAGTACGCAAAATTATGCGAGCTAATGCTTCGAACTGTAATTTAAATCAAAGACAGAAGATATTTACCTTCACCATTTAGAAGTACGAGTCCAATCACCATTAGAACAGGATGGACCTACAAGACAGTAGCAACACCAATAATTTGTAAAGGGTATGGGATAGAGTCAACAGCAAAGAAAATAATCATGTTTTACCCTTATATTTTATATAATGGAAAATCTCCCAACCTTCTGTGTTCGTTATATTAGAAACATAGTACCACTATACAAATTGGGGATGTTTAATATCCCATGAAGGCTCAAGAATTTTTAAACTCATGACCTCATTAAATCCAAAAGTAATCATGACAAGTGTCATCTCAGTATTATGCTCATATCCCTTGATCACAACAAGACCGTACTTCTTAATATACGAGATCATCAGGTATGCTATTTAAATTTTTTTCCTGGTAAGAAGGTATGTTGTTTAAGTTGAGCCCAGAAAGGGGACAAAACAAACAAACTCCACCAGAATTACCATGAAATAGTAAATAAAATGAATTCAATAAGATATATATATTGAACCATGCTTGTTATCAGATGATTGTGAGAAGCACAAGAAACAAAAGAAGATAGCAGTGATTGTGAGTAACTTGTGTCGATTCACCACCATATGTTACTTGAGCTTAGCTGTGACAACCAAAGAAATAATCTGAACCTTCAGGATTCGAGCATGTAAAGAAAGAATTCTATTGACCATCTATTTAATATTCATCTCAAAATTATTGATCTCTAAATTTCTCACAAATTATCCAAACTCAAGAACGTGCAGAGCCAGTTACTCTTTTTTTTTTTTAGTGCAACATGTTGGGGGATTCAACTCATAACCTCTTGGTTGGAGGTATATGCCAATTATCGCTGAGCTATGCTCGTTTTGGCATAGACCCAGTTACTCTACGCATGCATCACTATGTTAAACAGCCTTTTCAAGCTGGAGCTGAGGAACACTGACACCGGTGAGCAAGTAATAAGCACCGTTCTTGCTAGTTGTGACACAAACAGTTGGACGATACCCTGTTGAGTTTCGTCGCTTTATTACACAAATCTTTATCGGTGACAAACCAGATGGGGGCCCAAATGCAAACACTCAATTTCAAAATCCGTAGCAGTATAACATGGAAAGATAAATTAGTAGATCCAGTGAAGACCCATCAAATTTGTGTATCTATTCAAACAATCGGTAAAGGGAGAGAAAAAAACGCAAGAGCTAAATCAATTCTGAATATAGAGGGAGTTGTTAATTACATTGAAGATGAGATCCTTGTTGTCTGAGATAAGTGCCAATCCTCCACGGAAGTGCGAGGTCCAAATGATCACAAGAGTTGCCACAATCATCCCGAGCACTCTCACAGCCATAAAGATCGGGAATTGAACCACGGGAACCGCCATTGGTTCTTCAGCTGAAGAAATGGTGGAGGAAAGAATAGGGATATTAGGATCTTCAATGGTGGAAATCGTGGCCAATTTGGAGGTCAATTACCGTTTAGTAAAAGAAAAACACTGATCAAATTGAGTTCAGATGTTGATCTTTGTCTAAGATCCAGCGTCCCTAGTTCCTTCAATCTTTCATCGCCATGGGAGAGACAATGGAAATTTCAGTTTTTTGGTTCAGAATATTTTTCAACGTTTGAATCGTGGAAGAGGGTTTTTCCTTTCCTTTTTTCTTTTTCTTTAGCCCTCGGTGAGGAGTCAGAGAAATAAATTGTGTATTTTAATAATATTTTTAAAAAACAATAAAATTAATTTTTTTTAGACATTATTGGCAAAATATGATAATTAAAATTTAGTTTAACCAACAAAATCATGTTTACTCCATGTACTTTTTTTTACTTTGTCTTATTTTGATTTTTATACTTTAAAACATGATTTTTTCTTCATTTTAATTTTGTATTTTACTTTTCTCGAGTCATTTACCGCTATTTTGATCCATTCACTTTTATTTTTAATTAATTTATTTTAATCGAAATTTTAACATCACATTTCATTCACTGCATTTTTTGAAATATAATCATAAATATATATTGAAAAGTTCCCATTATGTATAAAACTTGTGTTAAAATTTTACAATAAAGACCAAAATGATCTGTTTTTAAAAGTACATGACCAAAACAACGTTTTAAAATTATATTGGCTAAAATGAACAAAAATTTAAAGCGTATAGGAACCAAAATTAAAAATACATGGAAATAGATAATTGAAGTTGGTTTCAATTTTTGCCCTCGCTTTTTTAAAGTCTCGATTTTACCTTTAATCTTTTACTTTGGTTAATCATTTTATTAGACCATGGATGGTTTTTATTAAACAAATATAAAAAATTGAGAGTTAGATTGAAAATTGTGTATACAACGTATGAGGTGAAGATTTGAAACAATAATTACTAAATCGTATATAAGTAACTTAATAAATTGAATTATGCGGCGTGACTAGAATAAGAATTAAATATTACAACACAAGTCTTCCATTGATATATATTTTTTTTTTGTTTAACACATTCCATTGAAATTTTAACACTTCAAAATTATCTAGAAATTATAGAACTACTACTTCTAAGTAACTTCCTATTACCATCTTATAAAAATCCAAAGAATGTTGGTTAGTCTGAGATTTATGTACATAAAACTATAATCAATAATCTTATATATCTTACTTACAAGATCTTTACTGTGAGGTATATAAGAACCTTCGATGATCAAATATGATATACTTTAATACTATAGATTAGGCTGAACTTATAAAATAATAAACAAAAAAATTCAATAATACACTCAAATATGAATTGAGACCAAATTAAATGGAACAATTCACATAAAATTCGGCATAGTGTGCTCGTGCTCCTCTATAATTGATCATGGCTTAGTTATCCATTTGATCTAAAATGTAACAATGATTTCTTTAATTAGAATTCCACCTTAAAAGATGTTAACACCTCTCAAAGCTCGATAGTCTTCTTCAAATTTTAGTACATTGAATGATTTAATTTATGTCTAAATAAATATTTGAATACTTCTTTTTTTCTCCGAAGGATTTTGATGTGCTAAGTTATATATTCTATCTTAGATTGTAATAAGAAATCATCAAATGATACAAATGCAAAATTTGACATAATTGTTGAAAGATACAACTTTTTGCAATTTCTCAAAGGAAAAAAAAAAATAATGGTTTGACCCAGGAAGAGTATCAATATTATTTTTTTCATTCACTACTTGATATAGCATCGTCGTATTAAAAATGATACTTCCTTATTATATTAAAAATAATATTTATAAAAGCAAGTTTCCAACTTTTTGAATGGTTCTAAGAACTCAAAATAGTCCCAACAACCTAAATATTTCCATATTAATTATATTAATTACCAGTCAAGTTCAGAAGTCAAATCTGCAGACTATCAAATATTTTAATTTAGAAAACTTCTTATATTGTACAGTTTTTCATCTGTGAAAAGGGAGAAGTATATTTAAGGGGCAAAAACGAGAAATCGCTCACATATATGCTATTTTTGAATATCATCTAATATTGCTATTTTTATTATTAAAAAAATAACAGATAGGCTTTTTTTTATTACGTGATTGAATGCAAAATTTGATAATATTTTTTGTGAACCAATTGCATTATGTTCTCTTTTTTAAGAATAAAATATTACTGTCTAAGCTGGCTTAAGTGACACATGTCACAACCCCATTTGTTATAATTATCTCCTCTGACATTGTTGAGCGAATGTTCGTTTAAAATTGTGTAACATAATATATAGAAACAATTAAAAATGATGATTTCATAATTGTACAGTACAGCTGCCATATTAATTTTTAATTTATTTTTGTGAAAATAGTTGCCATATTAATAATTGCTGCGTGATATTGGAGGAGATTTTGATTTTCCATATTGAAAAAATTGCCACTAATACTTAATCGCATCATATATAGTTAAAATTGGTGTKAGAGTTTGACCTATTAAATAATATATAAATTAATTAATCGTGTGACTATAAAAAAAAGAAGAAAAATGTGACATAAATGATAATATTTACTGTACTAAACAAAAATTAATGACAATAGTTTTTTTTTTTTTTTGAAACGGTAATGACAATAGTTATTACTACTGTAACACCATAAATATTTTTATTACGTTGTGAGTACCTCCTTCTAATTTAAAATTTTGCTGTTCCTAAAAAAAATAAAATAAAAAAGTATTTCATTGAATACTGTATTTATTGGAGGTGACGAGTGATGTAATAAATTTCACAAAATTCAACCAACAAACTACTAAAAATCTAGCTTAGACATCCATACATTCGTTTGAGGTTGGAGATCCGTACTTTTAGTAGTGAAATGAAGGTTAGCAACTGAAACAATTCAACTTAATCAAACAAATTTGTTAAAAGAATATTATATTTGGGATCTATTTAGTACCCAAGGATTTTGAGTGATTTCAAATCTAAATGAATTTCGTAGTTCAAGATTTTGAAGAAAAAATTTGATCAAAATAGTTGGATTTTGCATGACTTTAATTTTAAAGTTCAAATTACGTATTTAACCTTTAATTTCTAAATTAATAAATTTAGATTAAAAGTCTAATTAGTCAACTTTTTATTTTCTTTTCCTTCCTYCAAACAAGTAACATTTTTAATTATATTCCTTTCAAATAATTATCCTTCCAAACCAATAAAACACCAAATAAAGGGTTAGAAAACTAATATCGCTATTTATTTACATTTAGATCCAATTTGACGAAATAAATAAATATAGATTAAAGCTAATTCACAAAAAAAGAATAATTAGTAGAAGAAGAAAAGAATGATTCTTTAAAAAAAAAGAAAGAAAGAAAAAACCTATTTGATTTGTTCCTAAACAAAAAAGTTGACTGACCATATCCAAGTCACAACTCACAACTAAAAAATTATTAAAGAGAGAGAAATGGAGAATGATGGCCAAGAACATGAAAAAGAAAGCCATCACATGGGAACAAAAATAAATCAATAAATAAACAAATAAAACATTAAAAATAAAAAAATTAAAATAAAAAGCCGCCTCCTTTTTCCAACTTTTTAAACCCCTCCGCTCTCGGTACACCGTGGAACTCCCCCAGCCTTTTCCTTTATCATCTCGCCACGTGTACATTCTCCATTTCCCAATTTACCCCTCCCCTCCCCTCGGATTTACCACGCCAGCCTCCCCCAACGGCCATTTTATTCCCGGAGGGCAGTTTCGTCATGCACTGAAACTCGCACGTTCGGAACCGAAAAAGGCAGCGGGGTGAAATACCGGGAGTGCCCCTGGCGGCGTGGTGAGGGCGGGCGGGCGAGGGATGGGTAGGACGGTAATTGCGCTGTCGGGCCCGTAGAAATTAACAAGTGGTCCGCACAAAAGCGCACAAAAGGAGGCTGCACTGCAGATAGATGGATAAAGAGGATCGGTTCGATTTTGTGAGACGTTGTCGGATTTCAAATCTCCTAATTCGCCTGAATTTGGGAATTCCGTTCACGTCCGGCCTAGGGCGCTGTTAATTAGAATCGGAATTTGGGAAGTTTGTGTTGTGGGGGAGGAAGAAGGGATTGATTTCAAACTTTTTTCGTTTGATTTGACGGAATTTTTGGTGGGTTCCGACTGCGTCGGGTGAGGGGTAGGAATATTCGGTCTCTGTTTCAATTTTTTGGTTGGAGAGGTAGTAAGCGGAGGGTCTGGGACAATTTCTAGGGTTTTTGTGCCCGTTTTCCTGTTGAATTGTGGTTTGTATGTTTATGAAGTCGAAATTTTTGAAATTGGGGTTGATTGGGCGGTTTCGAGTTCGGTGATGTTTACGCCTCAGAGGGTGAGGTCTGGTTGGCCTCTAACGCCCAAGACAGGGGGCCAGAAGGGTGGAGCCGGGTCTGCCGCGAATCCGAGCTCTGTTACTCCTAGTTTGAGCCGCAGAGGGGATGGGATCAAGGGTAAGAGTGTGACGCCTCTTTCGGATTCGTTAGTTGAAAACAGGGCAGAAATGTTTGTGGGGTCGGCGGAGGCGGCGGCCTTGGACCAAGAGGGGTTGGCTGAAAAGATCTCTAAACTTGAAAACGAGGTTAGTTGATTTCGTTCACGAGTTCGTTMGAAATTCATGTTCTTGCTATTTTTTACCGGATTGATTTCGTAAATTTAAACAAGTCAGAAGCATCTGGCTCACAATGTCGTTCAGAGTTGGAAGTGGTTCGTTCTTATGCTATGAACTACAAACCAATCGTATAGTTACAGCGTAGGAAATGATCGAATGAGGTATTGGACGAGTTAGAGGCCATAGAATAGCATATGCAACTAATTTGGTCCCTGTGGTTTTGCGGGTAAATGGTTTCTTTTTTACTCTTTGGTGGAAGATGGAGTTTCTGATCTGGTGTTTTCGTAATTCGTTAGCATCTTATTTTTTTTTTTTCAGTTCATCTTTTTTCGTTTAACGCCAGATGTTTAGAAGTAGCGTAGTTTTCATAACCACGCGTCAGTTGTAGTTTTTGTATTTATTTGTTCTCTTCCAATTTCTTCCCTTTAAACAGCTTTTCGAGTACCAGTACAACATGGGGCTTCTCTTGATTGAGAAAAAAGATTGGACCTCAAAATATGAAGAACTTAGTCAAGGATTGGTTGAAGCAAAGGACACCCTAAAAAGAGAACAAATGGCCCATATGATTGCAATATCTGACTCTGAGAAGCGAGAGGAAAATTTAAAGAAGGCATTGGGTGTTGAGAAGGAGTGCGTTCTTGATGTAAGGCTCTACCTTTCTATATATTATTTGCTAGCATATCATCTGTGTCCTTTGATGTCACTTTGTATTGTTGTTTCTGCACGCACTTTATTTACTGGGCCTTATCTCCTTCCTTCTGGCATGTTGCTATTTTCTTATTGCCAACTGAGCTTTATAAAGATATATGACTTTGGATATTTTTTATATTAGGTGATAGCATAATTGACAATTTTGATGTTTCCGTAGTGTAGATTCCAGTTGGGACAGATACTGGTTTGGGTTTCCTTGGTTTCTGCCTGCTGTAGTGATGGTTTTAAAATGACTTGAGGGGATTGTATCTGCTCTTACTTTTAATGTTTTACGTTTGCCTTTTTTCCTCATAAGCTTCTTCTTCTTCTTCTTCTTTATTTCTTCTTCTTTTTAAAGTATTTTAAAAAGTGTTGTTCAGCTTCTCTATGCTACTAGGCAGATTGATTTAAAATATTTGAAGAAGTTGTTTCTTTTGAGGAAAGGTGAAAGAGAAGTTGGTAGGATAGATGACAACATGAAGACGAGTGTTACATACAATTTAGTGAGATATATATTTACTGTTTTACATCCAAACCATTTGAACTAGTTGGACTATCTTTGACATTCTCTATTTTTTCTCTCTTTGGGAAAAGCTAGTTCTTGAGGGCTTGGGTTATTTGAACTTTCTTTTTCCCTTTTCTGGTTTATAGTTTGTATGGGAGGATGTATTCCCATTAAATATGTGTGTCCACCCTTATATGCACTACCGTCTCTTTGGAGGCCTTCTTTTCTGGGTTTCTTAATGATTTTACTGATGGTGCATGAATGTCGTCATGCAGCTGGAGAAGGCTCTACGTGAGATGCGTGCAGAAAATGCTGAAATTAAGTTTACAGGTGACTCAAAGTTAGCTGAAGCTAATGCTTTAGTAACTAGTATTGAAGAGAAATCTTTGGAAGTGGAGGCAAAACTGCGTGCTGCTGATGCAAAACTTGCTGAGGTGAGCAGAAAGAATTCAGAGGTGGAGAGGAAGCTACAAGATCTAGAGGCTCGAGAAGGTGCACTTAGGAGGGATCGTCTATCCTTCAATGCAGAGTATGCATTCTCCTCAGATAATTTTCTTAAATCTTATTGCCTATTTGTCATTGTTCTCTAGAATCAAGAAATATAAGAGTTTAAAATGGTGTTTCCAATTTTGACTTTTGTTAGACGGGAAGCCCACGAGGCCACGTTGGCTAAGCAACGTGATGACTTGCGGGAATGGGAAAAACAGTTGCAAGATGCAGAAGAGAGGCTTGCTAAGGGTCAAACAATTATTAATCAGCGAGAGGAGAGGGCAAATGAGAATGACAGGATGGTGAAACAGAAAGAGAAAGATCTTGAAGAGATTCAGAAGAAAATTGACTCTGCTATTTTAGATCTGAAAAGGAAAGAAGAAGATATAAGTAGTAGGCTAGCTGCCATAGCTTTGAAAGAGCAGGCTAGTATCTTTCTTCAAACAGATATGCAGAAAAATCTATTGACTGGTCTTAATATTACAGTTTATTCTGGATGCAGGAATCTGATGCTTTGAAAGTTACCTTAGAGATGAAAGAGAAGGAGTTACTTGCGTTAGAGGAAAAGCTCAGCGCTCGTGAAAGGGTGAGTTTTCTCACCCCACTTTCTGTGTGGAATGTATCAACTTATAGTTTTTCATGGTGTTTTTTAAAGGCTTCCCATTTACAATCAAACTGGTCGGATCTTCATTTCAGTTCTTAAATAATTCATCTTAAGCTTTCATTTTTTTTTTCCAGAATTACACTCTAGATTAGTCTGATTTTGTTTTTTATTTTTACCAACTTCAATGTCAATAGGTTGAGATTCAAAAGCTTCTTGATGAACACAATGCCATTCTAGATGGGAAGAAGGTTGAATTTGAGCTGGAAATTGAACAAAAGAGAAAATCTTTGGATGAAGAATTGAAAATCAAAGCAGCTGAAGTGGAGAAAAAGGAAGCTGAAATCAAGCACATGGAGGAAAAGGTTGGGAAAAGAGAGCAGGCACTGGAAAAGAGAACAGAGAAGTTGAAGGACAAAGAGGCAGACTATGATACAAAATTTAAAGCTTTGAAACAAAGAGAAAAGTCTGTGAGATCTGAGGAGAAGAATATTGAGGCTGAGAGGAAACAATTGCTCACTGATAAAGAGGATCTGATCAGTCTGAAGGCTGAAGTGGAGAAGATTAGGGCTGAGAATGAAGCACAACTGTTGAAATTACGTGAAGAGAGGAATAGTCTTGAAGTGAGTGAGTCAGAAAGGTCTGATTTTCATCGTTTACAATCAGAACTAAAACAAGAGATAGAGAACTACAGGGGTCAGAAAGAACTACTGCTGAAGGAAGCAGAAGATTTGAAGCAGCAGAGAGAGACTTTTGAGAGAGAATGGGAAGATCTCGATGATAAAAGAGCTCAGGTTGAGAAAGAGCAGAAGGCTCTTATGCTGCAAAAGGAAGAATTTGAAAAAAGGACGTTTTCTGAGGAGGAAAGGTTGAAAAATGAGAGATTAGCAACCGAAAATTATATTCGTAGAGAGCAGGAAGATTTAAAGTTAGTCAAGGAATCCTTTGCAGCTAGTATGGAGCATGAGAAATCAGCGATTGCTGAAAAAGCTCAAAGTGAAAGAAGTCAAATGCTTCATGATTTTGAACTACAAAAACGAGAGCTTGAATCTGCCATGCAGAATAGGGTGGACGAAATGGAAAGAGAATTTCGTGAGAAGGAGAAACTGTTTAAGGAAGAGCAGGAGAGAGAATTGGAGAATATTAATTACTTAAGAGATATTGCCAGAAAGGAAATGGATGATCTGAAACTTGAGAGACTTAAAACAGAGAAAGAAAGGCAGGAAGCTGAAGCTAATAAAGAACATTTAGAAAGGCAGGGGATTGAAATACGTAAGGACATCGAAGAGCTTCTCGAACTTAGCAATAAGTTGAAAGACCAGAGAGAACGASTTGTTAGGGAGAGAGATCGCTTTATTTCATTTGTTGACAAACACAGGTCCTGCAAGAACTGTGGTGAAATAGCATCTGAGTTTGTGCTTTCAGATTTACATCACTTAGATGGTATTGAGAATGCTGGTGTCCTTAATCTGCCTGATAGATATTTAGAATTTCAAGGCCTCCAGCGGAATGGTGAACTGACTCCAGGTGTAGCTGGTCCAAAATCTCCCATTTCTGGTGGAACCATTTCTTGGCTTCGTAAATGCACCTCTAAGATTTTTAAGTTCTCCCCAGGTAAAAAGATTACCTCTCCTGCATTTGAAGAAGTGGATGGTGAGGCATCGATATTAGATAAACATGATAATAGGGCAGAACCATCTAAGAGAATTTCTGCAGTTGAAGATGAGGCAGAGTTATCTCTTGCAATTGCCAGTGATTCCCTCGATGACAAGAGAATTCAGTCTGATATAAGTGGCAGGGAGGTAGAACCGAGCCAGAACCTTTCAACTGATGATCAGAGCAACATCAATAGTAAGGCACCAGAAGTGCCAGTTGACTCTCAACCTTCTGATCTAAGGGGAAATCAGCGGGGATTACGTCCCAGGAAGGGAAAAACTAAAATCAGTAGGACTCGGTCTGTGCTGGCAGTTGTTGAAGATGCTAAGGCTATAATTGGGGAACTTCCGCAAACTCATCAAGTTGAGTATCCAAATGGGAATGCTGAGGATTCTAGTCAGCTGAATAATGAGAGCCGGGATGAATCTAGTCTTGCCGACAAAGGCACACAAAGGACTGTACGGAAGAGGACACGTGCAAATTCATCTAAATTCATGGGTGAGAATGATGACGATGACAGTGAGGTGCGCTCTGGCAGTGTTGTGGAAGGTCAACCACGGAAAAGGCGGCAGAGGGCTGTCCGAGCTGTGCAAACTCCCGAAAAAAGATACAATCTACGGCCATCTAAAGTGTGAGATTCTTATTGTTCCTTTGTTATTAGGTGGGAAAACCAACCGAAAAAAAAGATTTTAAAAAAGGCGTAGGTACCCTACCGAATTACCCCATGGGAATTTTCTCTCTAAAACTAACATAAAAGTGTGTGTGTATGCATAGTGACGATGATACCCACCCTTCCCACGGCCTCCAACCCAACGCACATGCAAGAAAATATGTATGCATAAAAATGTGCGAGTGTGTGCATGGTGACAATGACACCCACCCTCCCGTGGCCCCCAACCCAACGCACATGCAAGAAATTATGTGTGTATGTGCACATGTATATGTGCGTGTATCCTAGACTGTTCAATATTTGATATCCTTATTCTAGTTTCATCAGTCACATTCTACGCTATACATTTGATTTTTTTTATAAAATTTCAGACAAGTTATAATTTATCTTAGTTATCTGATTTGAGTTTTCCACTACTTATTGTCTATAGTGGAGCTGCTGCTAAAGGCCCTTCTCAAGTCAGTAAAGAAATTGGAGAAGATGCTCCGGTTAAACGTACAGAGGAAGATGCACACTATTCAAAAGCACTTCCTACACCTTCAATGGGGGTTACTAGCGACAATGCTGGAAGCGCCCATCTTGTAAGGGTATGGTTTTATCCTAGTTTCTATTGAACTTTTTGATTTTCTACATGTATATCTTGTACTGTTTGTCCAAATTTTGTATGTGATATTGACCTTTTTTTTCTTGAGTTCATGTTAGTTTTGCATACTCTTAATTATTCTTAAAAAGCTTGCCTTCCATTTGCACCACGAAAGCTGGTTTCTTCTAGAAGAAAAGGAAATACCATGAGCTGTCTGTCTTTATTTCATTTTGATCATACCTTCCTCCATGTACCTATCAGCTGCGAACTATGCCGTACATGATGCAGCAATGTGAATGTTAATGGTGACTGATATATGTATGTCCTGTCTTTCTTTATACTGCAGTGTCGCACAGTTGGAGATAATCAAGATGATGGGATTGCTGGCACGTCAAAGAACTCAATTGATATTGTATCGGTAAGCGAAGAAGTGAATGGGACACCAGAAGTTGCAGGCAAGTATGGGAATCGAGGTGAATACAAAAGTGAATCTTGTGAGGTAGTTGGAGATGAAGATGGAGACGATGACGATGACGATGAAGAGGCAGAACATCCAGGTGAAGCTTCAATAGGGAAGAAGCTCTGGACCTTTTTCACAACATAACCATATGAAATCTTCTCAATATGTTGACTGTTAATGGTCGTTAAGTGGGTCTCAACTTGTGTAGGATGATTGATTGCTGGTAGAAGAAGGTTTAGAAGAAAGATGTGTATCAAGAATTCAAATGTAGTTAGAACTACGAATTGTTCAGGCTTAGGGGGATTTGCTTTTTGTTTCCCCTCTTTTCTTCTTAGGATTCAGCCATTTTATATATGTATTTTTTTATGACAGTCCTTAGCTAGATATTTGACCCTGGATTCTCGGCTGGCTACCCACCGAAATTTGTTTGTATCAAAATGTTTGCCACTCTCCTTAGTTCTTGAATGATTGTTTTAACTCATTGATTAGTTCTTGAATGATTGTTTTAACTCATTGATTCTATCTCTCACCCTTCCTCTACAATAAATGTGTTTTTGGTAGCTGGTTGAAGAAAATAGATATATATATATATACACACATATATAAGATCCTACTCTTCGGTTCTTGGTTCACTTTTTGTCATGATTGTTTGTTTTGTTGCTCTATTTGGGACTATTGTTGACAGAACCATAAAGCACAGTTCTTTTTTAATATTGGTTTTCTTCCCTCTTTTGGATGGTTAAAAATGATTAGAGCTCTGTATTTTCTTATCATTATTAGCTTTTTAAATGAGAAGTTATCAAACCAATCAATCATTGAGATGAAAATTGAATAATATAACATAGGAAGAGCTGTTAATATGAATGTTAAAAACTTTGTTATAGCTATTTCTATACCCAAGCACCAGCAACCGAAATTGAACCTACTACGAGAGCATTTGGGCATAGTTTAACGTTTACAGATTTCTTCATGATTTGAGATTGCTCAAAGCACTTCATCGCTACCTGCATCACAAAAACTTCCATCCTATTCAAACTCAACATGGAAACCAAGAACAAAAATGATATTTTCAGGTAATTTTTACAATAAAAGAAGTACAAATTTTTTAAAATGATACTTGAAGAATAGTTTGCAACACAATTTTTAGAAATGGGTAGTTGTTGGATTTGGTTAACGAAATAGTATTGAGACCAACAATATTCTACCTTTATGCCCTTCAAAAATCCTGGGGACAACAAAATAAGACATATCAATCATAGTACCAATTATTCTTCGGATTATAAGAAATCCCTATTGTTTGTTTTCTCAGTGAAACAAACAAATGGCAGTCTTTTCCCAGAACTAAAAATCATATGATTCGTTCTGATGACAATATCTCATAATCTGAAGAACTTACAGTCAATATCCTGAAAAACCTAGAATCAACTGACCTCTCAGTTGCAGTCCTACTGCTCAAAGACTTCAAACATGAAACAGAATGAAGACTTTTATAAGTGAATAACCCTTACAACATATGGTGAAAATTCATCAACTACTATTTCTGATTCACCAAACTATGATTATTTATACAGGCTCTATCTCTAGGTTTTGTTTTTCCTCGCACAATTCTCTGAAATTCAAGCCCCATCAGTCATCTGCAAGGTTAATGTTTTTCACCAGATTTTTAAGAACTTTTGTCGAAGTTCCTTCATAGCCGATACTTTATTCGTACAAGGCTGTTAATATCCAAAGATCAGCGTCTTCTTGGTGGTGAAAACAATGAATTACTGTAAGAGCCATATCTTGAGTAATCATCTTCATGCTGTGGGCTTCTTCTACCTCTGTCTGAGTGGAGCCTCCCCAAATTAGGGCTCCTTGACATTGATGAATTAACTCTTGAACTTTGGGAGTCATGATTAAAATCATAACTGCCATACCTTGGGGTGTAAGACATAGGTGGACTTTTTACCGAGTCAACCCCAGGAGGTCCATCATCTCTGTAATCCCGGGGCCATCGTTGGTAAGGATCATTCCCCCTCCCATCATATTCTGCATGATGGTTCAAGCGCTGGTGTGATCGACTTCTAGGGAGACCAGAACTTGAAGGTTCAGCAGCCCAAAGTGTTTCATCTGCATTTTCTGGGATTGGAGCATTTATACCAGGAAATTCAACACTCTTTTTCCTCCGTGGTTTACGGTACTCCGGCTCAGTAATTTCCCCATCTTCCTGTTCATTGGCTTCCTCATCAGTAAATATTGTTATCCCTGATGGCTGATCCTCATCATCCGGATCTGAAAGATGACAAGTTTTTTACTGGTATCAAACAGTGAACGATGGCACAGGAGACAATAAAAGATTTCATTCTTTTTTGCTATTTCATTATTTTATAATGGTTAAAGACTATTCATCCAAGTAATAGTTTTGCTAGCCAGAAATTCTACTTAGCATCATTATGGGGTTGTCTATGTTGCAACCCTAATCAGGTCTCGTTAAGTTGGAATATTTTATATTTTGAAGAAGCATGTAGTTTACTGAAGTACCAAATGCCAAATAATAAACAACTGAGTCATACAACTTGATTCTGTGTACCATCTAATTTAAATATAGAAAAATTTCCAAGAGTGACCTCCCGTTCTTGCTAAATAGGATAACAATCTTGGATGTCAGACCAAGAAACAGTAGACGCTAAACTAATAATGTTTGTGAGATTAGATCAGAGAAATACTTGACCTGACCACGAAGTAGGTATGGTAGCCAAGCGGAAATAGAGAGAAAAGCTTGTCTTAAAAGAGCCACAAGAAAAATGATACCTAGATCCGGCTGGGAGACTACATTGCTGTTTATGGTGCATTGCCAATAAGTGCACTTTTTTTATTAGTAAGATTGCCCCCAGAGACAATGGATACTTTTCATTCCTCTTCTGTGACTTTTGCCTTGAAACGACTAGATTTAGCATTGCCTTTTTCCATCTTTCCATTTTTTTAACTATCTAAAATATAGGAGCCTAAAATTTAAGAAAACTCAAATTGCTTCAAGAGGAAGTCCCAACTATACCATTGGTCAAACATCCGACAGTGCAAGAAAATAATAGAACAACATGGGAAATCTTCTCATCTTTGACATCTGAGGTCATTTCCAAGGAGTTGCAAATGCTCATGATAAACTTTTTAAAAGAGGGGGTAGGTGGTTCTACTTTAGTGTGGTGGGATGAGGAGCCTAAGACTACAGCACCCATCATAATCCTAGTGAGCATGTCAGGTTTTGGAAGGACATGGTTGGGAGAGTTTCCTTTGTCACTTTTGTTTCAGCATTCATTCAATCATTCTTTGCCTAAATTTGAGTCGTTGCTTGTAAGATACCGTCATTAGATCCATCTTCTATCAATTTTGATTTCAAAATACTCTTAGTAATAGAGATATGAGAGGAGCGTCTATATCAATTTCTCCTCTTCATAAAGTTTTTCTTTGTCCTAACTGGAGGACAAAAGGATATGGGTTTTGGACTCGTCTACTAATTGCTGAAGTTGATCATTATTCAATTTTTTTGGTGTTGGGGTGTGAGACATAACTTTATCCTCCCGAAAAGAGTCTGGAGGGTTTAAAATCCTTAAAAATGGCAAGTCATTTTTGTGGCTAGTCATTGAGGGGCTAATCAATTTTTATGGCTTTATTTTAGAAGTTTGTTTCCATGGCATGTTCTTTGCAGACAAATACTAACCTTGGCTCATTCTCCATTTTTTCATGGTATATGGGGTGAGTTTTTCTCAGATTTTGGGGGAGCATGATTTTTTTTTTTTTTTTGATGGTGGATATTCAAATGCTTATGAAGTCTGGAGCATGAATGGTTCACTCTACCAGCCTCAACAATGTTTGAGTTGGCTTCTTATCATACAGAGTTGGTAGGACCTTGTTTTTATTATACGAGTCCTTCTCCAAGGAAAGGTTCTTTTACCCACATCTTGGACTTCCCCACCAAATAATTATCTTTTCCCTGAAAAAACTGTTTAGCATAATTAGTATCCTAAAGCAATCAGCTTCTGTTCACTGTCAAGAAGTAAAATGAAGTTTCTGAAAGCAAATGCTTCCATTCAAAGCATAGTTTGAAGCAAAGTGTGAAAAAGCATGATGATAGTTCTCACAACTCAAAATGCAGCGGGAAACAGTAAGAAATGGATCAGTCAGCTAACAAACAAAAAATAATCGTAATGGAATCTGAAGTTGAGAATGCACAAAATGCTGCCGGAATAAGTATTTCAAACTTATTTTTTAATAGAACATCAGCTTTCATCGAGAAAAAGAAAAGAACACACGAACACAACAAGAATATTCAAATGACTATATGATTGAATCAAACGCAGCATAGATAACATAATGCAATTACCTAGATATCCCGGTGGGTATCCCAGCTCTCGCATTCTGTTAAGCCAAGGGGGTGGATCAAGCTCCTGAACAGTGAACAGAATATAAAAAACTCTAACCACATATGGTTCTAACTCGTGATGGTCGCATCTCTATAAATCAAAATTTCCCATTTGTAAAATAATGACTGAATCATGCATTTGATTTTTAATTTAAACCATGAGCCGATCTCCATTTTATTTTTATTTTTTTTATAAGAAACAATTTCATTGATGGATGAAATTACAAAGAGAGGGGCAAACCCACCAAAAACCAAAGGAGTTACAGAAAACTTCTCCAATTGGATAATAAAGAGCTTAAACTATAAGAATGAAAATAGTGTGTTGATCTACACCAAGACATAGCATGAAAAGTAATGTTATCGAAAAGGGTGATGAAAGGCAGATTTTTGTCTAGGAATAATCGATGGTTCCTTTCATTCCAAAAAATCCAAAGAAAAGCTCGAATGAAGTGCTTCCACATAATCTCTTTAGCTTTCTTGAAAGGGTGACCCACAAGAACTAAAGACAGTAAATCTTGTATGTCAAAAGGGAGGGCGGTAGACCAGTCAAATGCATGGAGAATCAAATTCCAAAAGTCCATGGCTAGGGAGCATGTGTGAAAAAGGTGGGAGGGCGATTCCCCCTCTTTTTTGCATAGAATACACCAATGTGGTGAGAGAACCATGAAGGGTAATCTTCGTTGTAGCTTATCTGAGGTGTTGATGCCCCTGTGAGCGAGCTCCCATATGAACAACTTGGTTTTTTTGGGGTAGTTTTCTTTCCAAATGGCTTTGGCAAGAGTTGAGTGCAAGAGGGATCTCTTTGGAGCCATGTCAGTGAGAAGAGTCTTGATGGAAAAGGATCCAGCCAAACCCATGAGTCATCACCTTCATGGAGAGAGGTGGAATCCAAATGATGGGATAGAGTTGCCCAATCTGTAATTTCCTCCTCCTTTAAAAAACGTCTGTAGCCTATGTCCCAGAAATTGAGGATGGGCTTCCAAATTTCTTTGACAGAAGCTGATTTCTGAAGACATAGGGAGAAGAGGCGGGGGAAGGTTGAGGCCAATGGGGAATCAAACAGCCAAGGATCAAGCCAGAAAGAAGTAGATGCTCCATTTCTCACCTTGGAGGATATTCTGTCAAAAATGAGATGCCTCAGCTTGTCGATATTCCTCCAAGGACCAGCAAAATGGATTTTGATCCAGGTTTGGTGTTGAAAGCTTCAGCTGTATATTTTGCCACAATGACTCTTCTCCAAAGGGCATGTTTTTCGAATCGAAAGCGCCAAATCCATTTAGCAAGGAGAGCACGATTCTTGTCTTTTTGTTCAATAGGACTCAAGACTTTCTCCCATTTGACGAGATGCATCGATGATGATCTCCATTTTTTTTATAACTGGGAGTCTGCTCCCTCCCTTATACCCAGGGACAAACCATCAGCAAAGGCAAAATAGAATAGAAATTCAGAAAGCACCTATGGCAATTTTATTCAATTGAACAAGAGCAGTCAGTCCACATCACGAGGATGTAGCCCAGGTAACTCCAACAAAAATTACTTAATGTAGACATTTTTGTTAACATGGCACCGTTTTAATATTAGCCAATTGGAGCTTGTATTTTAAGCTCCTATGGCAAATATATATATATATGTAACAGTTGATAATTCATCTATTATAGACAACAACGTCATGATTTGAAATGACTTCCAAATTGTCTCAAATTACCAATTAAAATGGCTACGTCATGCTCCCCCTTCCATAGAATCATTCTCTCACTCACAACAAGTTTACAATGGAAACTGAGCTGACAGAAATGCAAGCTGTTTAGGATATGCTCATTGAGAGGAAAGAACATCATGCACGCAATCAAATGCGACCAAATTGAAGTGAAAGTTATCAATTGTAATGTCATGTTCAGCAATAAATTGTAATTTGCTTTATTAATGACAAACCATAGATGAATTAATTCTTAAAAACAAGATAGTTATAATACCTTGAGACCTAACAGTTGCCGTGTTTCAGCATCAAGAGCTCCTGGTCTCAAATCATCATACTTCCCACCACGTGAGTTCTGATAATATCGAGTTGAATTGCGGGAGCCAGAATTTTGATGTCTTTTAGACTTGTACTGATTGCGGGCATTATTAACAGCAACATTATCTCGAGGCTTAGAGCAATCCCTTAAGGCATGATTGTAAGAACCACAATTGAAGCAGCGGCTAGCATCATCAATTATCTTCTGGCCTCTGAAAAGTTTGCCAAAAAAATGAAAGAGAAAACAAGTTCAAAGTGTTGCAGTAAAAGGGTAAAGAATAACAAAGCACTAGGAGAAGGCACATAAAAATGCGCAGAAGAAAGCTTCTACTTGAATTAAAATGCATGTTCTTGGAGGCATGCAAAGACTTGAACCCAAAACTTGGGTAATGTATATTAAAACTCAAGCATCTTACCAATATACCAACCCCATAAGATGCGAATTAAAATGCATGTTCTTTGCCAAACTAAAAAACATATGAAGAAACCCTTCATTGGCATTGTCACAGAACAAGAAAATCAAGAACATGTTTTCATTTTTAAAATAAAACTGCCTCTAGGCCCTCTGCTATTAACTCAACTCAGAGCCATCAATTCAAAGTAAATTATAAATTAGCCTCTGACTCACTAGAAAGGCTAGCAAGTATAGTAAATTAGCCTTAAATTTGCTGCAAGATTTAATGGAAGTGTTCCTTGTGTGGCATTAGAATTCGCCAAATCTAATATTTCATCCAACAGTGGTGAGTAAATAGAATTTACCCTTCCACATTACTCGCATCATTGGCTGAAGTCAGTCCCAAAGTGAATCCCCGATCATATCGTGGCACAGAATTGTCATCTAAAGGAATAAAATTTTGCTGCTGTTCTCTTCTTTGATTGTCAATCCAGAAAGTCTGCAGTAAAACAATGATTAAAAAGGAGAATACAGAAAGCAGCTCAGAAAACAAGACGGGGAAAAATAAATAAATGAAGCATTCATAAATTCTTTGCCACCATACATAACAAAGAACCATAAATGGAAAAATGAACTCAGAATTTGCATGCAGCATCAAATTGAAAGGGGAAAAAATGAAAAGAAAAAAAAAAGGGAAGAAGAAGCAGCTAAAAAAATATGTCCTCATATTGTGCATTCAGCATTGCTTAAACTTTATGTGTAATCATACACCAATCGGTCCATAAAGTTATCAGTTTGCTTCCACACACCGATGACATGTTCACTAAAAGCAAAAATATTGTAACTGGCACAGTTCTCCAAACATACATCTATAATTTCTACCAGCGATTGTTCACTAAAAGCAAAAATATTGTTAACTGGCACAGTTTGCCAAACATACATCTTTAATTGCTACCAGGGATTCAAAATTTCAAACACCATGGCCTGTGGTCATGCAGACATAAAACAATTAGGTCTCAAGTGTTGAGCACCGCGAAGCACCCTTTTTTTTCTTACACACAGTGAATAAAAAAAATGACACGGGTATTGATGAATTGTAACTTTTTCTCTTAAATTAAGATTTAGCATAAAAGGCCAGTAAAAGACAGGACACGATATTTCAGTGCCATCAATAATAACTGCTGCTAACTAAACCCAAGAACAAAAATGCAACCAAAAACTGTGATAAATGCAGGTCAACAATCTCAAATAGAAACATTTGTCGACAAAAATACAGGAAAATCACCACTGCAGAGCTCTTCTTTGTGCCAATACATAGAGCAGGAAAGAAGGTCTCTTCACCAGATTCTAGATTTTCAGATTCTTTATCATCCTGAGCAGAGAAGAGACAAGCCAATTAGTTTACTACACAAAAAAACAAGACAAAATATTCATAAAATAAACAAAAAGAATGCATTTAGCTACAAAAAAATTTCTATGGAGTTCCATGAAATGTTCAGAAAAATAAAAAGAAATGGAATTTAAGAAGAAAACATAACACCCAATATAAGGTCTACAGAATACAAATTATTCCCTTTGTTGAATCTAATTCACCCCAAATGTTGCAGTCAGACATTCCATAAAACAGCATACTTAAGTCTTCACACATCAGATTCAAGCAAGAGTACATTGTCAACAATAAACTCTCAAAATATCACATCCGTTCAAATTAGCATGATAGTTTATCTTACGACTAGCATCCAGACAGTGAAGCAACCAGTCCTTCCTAGACTCGACTGCACCTTAGAAACCTTGGAAAAACATAACATACACAATCCATATTACATGAACTCCATAAGATTTTCGCTTCCATGACTTGAACACTAGGACAAGCAATGTTTTAAAAGGCTTTTGAGGCTTACGCCTTGAGGCTCGCCTCGAGGCAAGGCTCTAACTTTTAGCCTCAAGTCTTACGCCTTCTTTGGACTATAAGAGGCTTACGCCTCGCATAGAAGAGGCTTACGCCTCTTTGAAAACGCACTGAGGCTTAAAGTATACGCCTCGTGTAATGATTACAAGAATACTATTAATTTTTCCAATTCCTAAAAAATATCAAGGTTTTTTCTGTATGGAATCCTAAGCAGGAGGTGTAACAATTCAATCTATTACTACTTTTACTACCTAGACTTTAAAAATATTGAAAGACAACAATTTATAGAATAAGTAAGTTCTATTGGTGATAATAGTAGTGATGTTATGATGTTTTTTTAGAATTTTTTTTGAGTGACAAGTAACAAGTGGATATTTTGATAATTTTATATAACTATTATGTTTGGTAATACTTGACCACACAAATTTAGGATTTGTTTAATTCTTTTAATTAAAATTGAGGCTTACGCCTCATACCGCCTTGAGGCTTACGCCTCGCCTTTTCAAGAGAAAAAGCCTCGAGGCCGCCTTTAGCCTTTTAAAACATTGAGGACAAGCATCCCAGGGAAACTTATAAGCTTGCTTACTAGAACAATGGATTCCCTGAGATCAATTTTTATGCTATCACTCCATCTATCTTCATATGAACCTACTAGGTGCATACAAACCCATACACATAAATCAGGTTCAATAGTTGTAAGTTAAACAGTGTGATTGAAATTTTTTCATAGGAAGTTAGGAACGATGAGAGGATAACCACCTCATAAACCTATAACGTATCCTCTGATCCCAACCAATGGTGGCTTGCTTCCTTCTTCATTCAAAGTCAAAGATAATAGCTCATTTCAAGAAAGTTGAAACACAACAAAAAATTGTCCTAGAAAGTCACTCAAGATAGTGAACTCTTGCTTTAGAAAATATCATCTGCGGAAAAATCACAAACAGAAAAACAGTTGCATACAGATGACTACAGCTCTGTTTAACTCTTCAAAAAAACTAGAGGAAAAATAGTTAATTCTGAATTCCACAAGATTGCACAGTAAACAACATCTTGGACAATAAATTAAAGAAGATAGCTGCAAAACAAGCAGCACTAGTATATAAGGCTTACTTGAGACAGAGGACCTTGTTGAGCGTGCCACTCAGACCACTGCTTCAATAGTTCGTCAAGCTTTTGTTTGCTAGCTCTGAGAATGAGAAAATGAATCTAGTTAGGAACTCATAAATTATGTTTTTGAACATTTCTCTGTAGTTTGCTCAATCAAAATTACAATTGGATTTTTTCCTAAGAAAACCAGCTTTCATTAGGATATATAAAAATAGAAAAGCAGTATTACATACAACATTTTGAAGAAAAAAACACTTTTGAGGGGATGTCAATTGCCAAATAAGAGAACAATGGTCAGTGATATTTTAAAATTTGTATGGGCTTCAATGACAAATCAATTTCAGCAAACTACTTCATCTCACCAATGATTAGTCATTCAATTCATCAATTGTACTTGTATCAAACGAAGATAGTTGTCTATCTAGTACCACTGGCAGCACTTTAATCCCTTGGGCAATCCAATCAATATCACCATGTCTCTCAATTATGATATATCTATATATATATAGATCACAATAGAAGAAATAGACCCATTTTTGCAGAAACAGTTAAACAACCAACCTCGTTAAAGAACTATACATAACGTGCACTGAAGGTTGTTGCTCGTCCATGGCCATCCTTGGTCTTTTGACACCTGATATTGCTGGATAAATAGCAAAATAGTTTTTAGTGTCACAATATGAACCTTGTAAACTATAGAAAACTTAACTTTGATTTTTTCCCCCTAAAAAGCCTATGAATTAGTTTTGTTACAGTAAATAATAAAAGGAGAAAGATACAGAAAAGGAAAAGTAATAATAATAAAATCTACTACCATCACTCTTGTGGTCCTTAATAAGGTTTCCATGATTGGATGTAGCTGAACCATTCTCAATGGGCACTCCAGAGTTGAATCCATTGTACTCAATAGAAACTTTGTTAGTTACAGTCAACTGGTCACCAGTTTTCAAGAAGGATGAATTGTCGACCAAATCCATTTCAAAATTTTTACTTGCAACATGACAAACATTCTCATATCGCATGTGAAGTTCATTCTGCTGCAAGGGCTCTCTGCTTGGTTGTATGTTCTCACCTGCAGAGTTGACGGGCAGGTAATCAGCTTCATTCGATATTTCATTATTCTCACTTCTACTTCTAGACTTGTTAAAATCTGGGAGGTTATTCAAATCCTCAATTTCCATATCTGAATCAGAAGGCTGTGCTTCATCATTAAGGTCAGATTGAGGTATGCAACTCATATCGTCAAATTGCACATCATCTGCAAGTTCGGCCTTCTCTATGCTTGCGTCGTCATCCTTACACTTCAAAACACTTGATTGAGAATCAACTTCTCTAGTTTCGTGACAACTAAGGAATTCATTATTCTCATTTTCATTTCCAGAATCACCAGAAGCTGGCAATGCAATGAAATCCTCAGTTGCCATAAAATGCAGATACAATGGACAATGTTGTATCAGAAAGTCCACTAAGTAACTGCAAATTTAATCTGCATGAATAAACCGAATTCCAGGTGGAAATCACCTATCAACAAAAAGTAGCAATGACACGTGTGAATGCCATAATAGCACTAAGAACACCTGCAGGTAAAAGTAGACTAGAAACTTAATTAATTATGTCCGTATTGTATATGAGCCAATAAAGCTGAGCATAATCCTACAAGTAATGAATAATACAACTAATGACTAACTGAGGACACTTTCAGAATCCAATACAAAGTAACCATTTCAAAATAGTCTCAAGCCTTTATCACCCAAAACCTGGTTTCAGATCCCCCTAGAGCATTATATAACATTATAAGGTTAGATACTAGTCCTCTCCTCGCATTTAAAAAACTGTCGTCCATAATTTTTTAATATGAAAAAAATAAAGACATGTCTAAGTTGCATTAAAACTGAAAACAACATCACTAAGTTCAAGTTACACTCTACAACAGTTATTTCACTTCTTGCAGTCGGCATTTATTTCTAAGACAGCATCAAAACACTCATCTAATGGTAAGATGGATACATATCAAGAAAACAGAAGGCGAAAACTTCAACCAAATAATAATAAATAGATAGCTAATTAAAGGTTGGTACTGTAACGGAAAAGAAATTCCAAGCAGCAACCCATTTGAGGCAAGCGCAGTTTCCACTAAATTATCAGAAAAATAATAAAATTTAAGTACTACTCAGCAACACTAGAAAGATTTTCCCTTTCGCGTAGCACAAAAAGAAAAAACAAAGGAAAGAAAGATGCATGGAGGGGGCAAAGAGGATCAGTCATGTCAGACTCAATTATCAGAGAGGACCTTGAATTGAAGAGGCGCTTAAAATTATCCAAAATTGAACACATTGAAGTTGAGGGTGCGGTGTAATGAAGGAAATAGAAGATATGAGGGAGAAGAGAGAGAAAAATTAGGGTTCCGGTGAAGGGGTACCTGAGGGCTGAGTGGGTGAGAATTGGGGAAAAAGAAACGGCGGAAGCAGAAGGCGACGACAGATCTGTCGGAGCCGGAATTGGGAAAGATCCCCTCCACCACTGACCAATGGCGACGAGCGACTGAGGGCAGGTCAAATGATCCGGGCGGCGCAGTAAATGGATCACTGCTGGCCGTACGATTTAGATTCTTTTTTTTTTCTTTTTCTTTTTCTGGTTTCTTTTTCATTATTTTTTTCCTTGTCTGAAATGGAATATTACTGATTATTTTGTAAATAAAAACTTGTACTTAACAATTAAAAAAAAAAAAAAACTTGGGTAGGATTCGAACCCGTTTAGTCAATAATATATATCTACTTTCATTTTTCTTTAATTTGGTGTATATAAAATTAGGGAATACTACTTTTTAAAAAAAAAATTTACAATTTTATCCGAGAATCATCTCAAATTTGGAAATTATTTCTAAATATAGAGAGAATCTCATTCTTTTAATAAGTAAATTACTGAAATCTAGTTTTTGAGTTAGAATTTTTACCCCAACATACTAAAAAAAACAAGGGTAACTATTTTGGTACTTATTTTAATTGAACAAAAACAAAAGCATACTTCATGATTATTTATTGTTTATTATTCTCTGAAACTTTAAATTAAAGAAGTAAATTTGTATAAGAAAATTAATATTTTTTAATTAAATATTCAATTATTTTAATATTTATTACGGTAAGTCAAAGAATGATAAAATAATACTTTTCCTTATGTTTTAGAAAAATTTGAAAAAAAAAACTTGATTTAGTTGTTTCCAAAATGTTTACGCAATTTAAAAAACGTTCCTAAAATATGAAAAATGAAAAATAGAAAAACTTACTAAACACTTATATTTCTAAAAAATAAGAAACAAGAAACATAAACTGTCATGAAATGAGTTCTTAATTTTCACTCATATACGAAGAATTGCTCAGAATTACTACTTTTATAGAGCAAGTATTCTTCATCATGTAAGAACTTGCCTTCTACACACAGATAAATGTCTAATTTTAATATTGTCTTCAATGTTCCAAAAATTTAAGAGAGAGATCAAATCTTGAAGCATAAAAACCTAAGAGATTTACAAATCATACCTCATTTTATTTGTGATCCATAATAGATCAAAATTTAGAACCTCACTAAGATATTCAAATCTTAAACATGAAGTCTACCAAATGGAAGAAAAAAATTAGAACCTGGCTTCCATCACCATGAACAGAAACCTTCATGCAAGATAGAAAAATTTAACCCACATTTCAAACATAATCTCCTAAGATGTATAATATATCAACAATCAATATTAAAAGAAAAGTTGCATTTGGTAACCAAACTTGATCCACAGACCTAAGTGAGATGGTGACACCAATTTTTAGCTTGAAAAAGTGGCAGGAAGTTACTACTGGGATTAGTCTAAAAATTTTGATACATCATACTTGCATCTTCTTCTTCCTCTATGAGCTTCTACCTGAACCACCATCTTTGTGCCATTGAAAGAGGAGTGTTGAGGAACCGGGCATAACGGTCGATGAGCGGGGTAACGACCCTCCCGATATTGGACCACGCACTTCGATGATACCCAGAAGTGACAGGAGCGTGATACATGAGCTTTAGCAGCTGTTGGAAATTGTCCAGAACATAAAAGTGAGTCATCCAACTCTATTCTCTTAGATTACAAAAACAAAATAAAAAACGTTTCAACAAGAGAAAGAGAAACGCCCAGAAAGATCATATTAGAAACTACATAATATCTAATTGTGCTGTTACAAATCCAAAAAAGATATTCTTGAATTTATGATTTCAAAGAGCTATGGTTGTCAATGGAAGTTCAAATTCTCTAATCTTGAAAACAATATTTTATTATTCGATCTAATTCTTACAGCAGAATCCGTCGTCCTTGTCCATTTATTAGTCAAACTTGCTACTTAAGAGAAAAGTAGGGGGAGAGAGAGAGAGGTAAAGGATTCGTAACCAGGGAAAAAAAGTGGCAGAATTTTGGGTTGAATTGTCATTTATCTTGCAGTTAATATCCCCTCTATTTTGAATGGAATTCGTCTTGTACTGTGTCCTAATTAATTTGTGAGCCTGAATATGCTAACGATAAAAATAAAAACACACCTGCCAGTACATGAATGTATGTAAGAAGTTGCGTTGCCACCTGCAGAACAAAAGTTTGAATAGATAATTGAAGTGAAAAGACTATTAGAAATTTTAAACAGAAAATAAAAGGGCCAAAAGGAACTAAAAACTGACGAGAGCAAAGAGATGATTAGAATGAAGCCAAGTCCAATCTCAGCCTGCGATGATAGAATGCTGAGAGTAGTTGAATTTGACTCCACCCATACACAAGGATCTTCCAAATATTTCCTGCAACAAATTAGAGAAAGGATAAGAAACTTGCACAGAGGAAACTTGATATGCTGTGACCTTGAGCGATAAAGCAAGCAAGCAAACAGATTTTATGCTCATATCTATACTTCCTACATGGAGACAGGAGAGCTCATCACTTGATTTCTACTCTCTAGAACGCGTTAGGAATCTCACCTTCCAAAATTGAAATGAAAGAACTTTTATCAGATTTATTCTCACAGTTTGATATCTCTTTTCAGTCCACTAAAAAATTCTCCTCTCTTTTTTTGGAGAGTACACCATTTGGTTTCTCCTCAGTCATACTGCTTGTTTAATATGATCTTTGGGTAACGGCTTCTGTAGGCGTTTTTCAGGACAAAACACTAATTCCAGGAAGTGTCAGCAAATTAGGGGCAAACAACTATCCTAAAATCGGTGAAATGAAGCAGTATAACCTTCTCAATAAGCAAGCAACTGGGCACCTCCCCCCTCCCCCAAAAGCTAAAATGGAAAAAATAAAATAAAGAATGTGAAGGTTTTGAACACATGCAGTCTTGATTGAAAGCACAGAGACTGTAGAAATTTTAAAGAAAAAAAAATAGCTATAATTACGAAATGGCAACCTCGAAATGTCTTTGATGAACTATACAATCAAAATTTTGGGAGAAACCATCACAATCAAAATTCAAGTGGACATATTTCACACAATAAATAAATAGATTCAATTGAAAAATAGAAAACATGCTACCTGTATAAGGATGAACGCGTAAAATTACGCCTAAGGAACTTTGCAACATGTTCAAGAGCCCGGCACAGGATAGGAATTAAAGCAACTGCATTAACATTTAAAATTTTTAAAAAGCTTACTGCAAGTAAATATGAAAAAGGTAAAATAATCATATGGACAAAATCATGTATCAATAAATGAATACTTGTTTAGTGATAAACAGATAAATAAGTAAACAAAACTCGATTAGCAAAGCTATGCTTACATTTAAGACAAATATTTGAAGTCACAAAGGTGATACAGTAAGTGAAGTGAATGAAATCTTTTGTAGCAAATATGGACTGGAAATAAACTTTCAACGCTTGCAAATTCCATGCTCTGGGCTTCTGCAAAAAAATTAAAAATTAAAAAAAAAAAAAGAAAATATAGAGAAAATGGCATGAACATAAAGGGTCTGTTTTCTTTCTCTTCTTCTCTCTTTTTATTTTTTTAATGAAAAACCAAACATTTTCTTATTCCTTTTTCTTCTTTTATAGGGAGAAACCAAACATTTTCGTAGAATGGGAATGGGGCCGTTAAGTTAGAATGGAGAACTTACCCCATACACCGAGTACAAAGAATATAAAGAGGAACAAGTTGTGCCCATAAAAGAAAGCCTATATGCCCTCTGCGACAGATTCTTGGGTATTAGGGGAAAAATTGCCAGCACTGCCACAATAAACACCTGCAGAAGGAAAGCATATTAACTTTAAAGGATGGAACCCAAATCGAAAATTCATAAAAAAATTCAGAAGCCGAACAGAGAGATCCATAACTTCTCGATCAGAGCCACTACTAAAGACAAACAATAGATTTTTATGAAAATACCCTTAGTACATGACTTCCATGTTCAGTTTCAATAGAATTTTCATAACTTTTCTAAGAAATGTTTTTCTGGAGGTTTCAAGTTTCCGCAACAGAAAAGCAGCCTATGGACAATGGTCCCAAATAGCCTAAAAACTCGATGACAGAAATCTGCCATAGATGAACCCTCCATAAATAAATTAATCCTCCAGGAGATAACAAAGTCAAATAGAATGTTTTTTTATTCCGGTTCCAAAAAAAAACAGTTGAAAATCAAAATCAAGGTAAATAAAAAAAATAAAATAAAAACAGGACTTCAATCAATAGAGAAAACCTGATTGTAAATCTTGGAGAAAAATTAGGGTACTGTAAAACGAGAATTTACAGAGTTGACACATGATGTACATCTTACTCTTCATATTTTTGGAATTGAAGTGCATAACAAGCGCAAACAAGCAGACACAAACAGAGTACAGTTTTGATAAGGAAGTGGATAGCTCCACAAACCGAAGGAAAGAAAAGCATTTTAGATACAAATAGGGTATGATGGTATGTACAAGCTTTTCTGAACAACACTTGTAAAGAACTATATTTCATCTGTCGGAAATGATGAAATATTTGTAATCAAAAGTTCATACAAGCCTCCATAAAATCAGCAACCCGAAATAAAAACAAAACAAAATAAGACCATGATACGACTTTGTGTATGTAGTAGCCCTTGAACATTGTGGATATACCAACTTTGCAAGATCATGTAAGCGTGAACTAAAATAACCGTACCCATGCATTGACAGAGAACTGAATTGTTTGTCGATCCCAGCGTAACGGAGTTGGATTAGAATCTGCGCCTGCAGATGTACCTGAGGGTAAATTCAACATGAACATTAAAAAATATCTAGAACTTGATGTCCATCATTAAAAATAAAGAAACAAAACGTCTACCCGAGCTACGTGGTCGACTCCGATCATTTGTAGTAGGGGGCGGCGCAGAAGATGTTGCTGAAGGTCTAGACGACTGGGTCGAACTACTAGAAGACATTGCCTCTACCACAAGTTCGGGATCCTGTTTCATGAAACCAAGTAAGGCGAATTTAAAAGAAATGCAAGAAGACACTTGAATTCTCAGTAGCCACCAAATAGCGCAAATTCTACAAAACCGATCAAATCAAACTAAAAAGAAAACACCCCATTTCTTGTCTCTTAGGAAACCAGTCTAAAATTTCAACTAATTGACCCTCGCATCCTCTCTGAACTCCAAGAACCAGTCTACATGAAATCCCAAAATTCACAAGAGACAATTCTGGAAAACAAAAGAACCCCACCCCCATAAAGAATTACCGACGACGGAGTTCAAAATTGAAGAAAAACATGGATACCCAAATCGATAAGGATTAAAAGGGAGATGACCCACGATGTAGCGCTGGAAGAACTTGCGCTTGTAGTGGTCAACAACGTCGGGGCGAGAAGCCATGTGGGGAGGGATGAGAATGTTGGACCAGTAATCGGCCCATCTTGGATCGTTCTCGTAGTCGTATGCTGCCGCCGCAGCTTTCTTGAGGCGCTGTGGATCCTGTGTTTGCTCTACCATTTTTGTGAGCTCTACTCGCAGTATCTCTCTGCCGTTCTACTTGTTGTGGAAACTGGAAAGTAGTTTCTCTCGGCGAGAAAGTAGAGAGAAATGATGCGCCGATAAGTACTTTCCACAAGCTGATGATGCTCAACGACGTTTACCACGAAGGATAGATTCGCTAACAAAAAACGACGTCGTTTTCGAAATTGTCTAAATTAAAATTTTCAAATATTTAATACCTTTTTCTAGAGTTTAATATCATTTTGGTCCGAGTTCTTTTTTGTTTTTCGATTTTATTCATTTTGGTTCATGTAATTTTAACTCTGGTCGGTTTTTGTACTTTTAAAATATATGTTTTGATATTACATTTAAAATACGGTCAATTTAGTCTTTATTTGTAATATTTTAACACAAAAAAAATTATATGCACCGGAGATTCTTTATTACGAATTCATAGCTCCATTCTAATACGTTTAGTGAATCATGTTAATATTATTATTGAAATAAATTGGATAAAAATGAAAATGAATCGATTGAAATTTTCATTTTTTTTTCTTTACCAAAATAGACATTTTGACGTCAAAATAAAATGAAAGTTGAACATATTGAAACCAAAATAGGTATATTTTATAAATATTTATTTAAATTACTATTATTGTTATATTTAACTTTTTTACCATTAAATCAATTAACAAAATGCTAACACAGTAGGTACAAATTTCTGTTTAATTTGTGTTAAAATGGCATTTAGGACAATGTATCCTCTCTTTGAAGTAATGTATTTTAAGCAAATTAATTATTTACATATATTTTAAACTATGGTTTTTAATCATCTCAAAAGTAACAAACTTAGAATTATTAAAAAAAAAAGTAACAAACTTAGAACAAAACATAGCAATATTAGCAAGTAACAAAAAAAAAGTACAAAGAATAGTGTAATTTGTAAAAAGTGTACAAAGAATAGTGTACATCTGCAGTTACTTTACTCCTCAAAATTGGAAATACAAGAAATGGTGTAGCATTATAAAATATCAACCCCAAATTGTAGAGAATACAAAAAATAACAAGCTTTATTTTCATGGCAAAACCTTGTTAGCAATGAGGGAAACAAGAACAGGAAGAAAATTTGAGACGGGAAGATTTGGGCAGAGATTTACAAAGATTTGAAATGGTAGGCCCTGATTCCAGTTCCAGCTGCAAGATCTGCAAGAGAATGTAGAATAATTTAACTTCATACATGTATTAGATGTTCCATTGCCGAGATGGGTTAATGGGCGCCGAGGGACTTTGATCTCTGGATTCTCTACTCCAACTACTTTGACTCTGACTTCGACTTCGACTTCGATCTCGATCGGAGTACGCAAGACTGTAATCTTGACTGCCAAAAGCCATTCTCTGAAATAGTCTGATCTGGGCAGAATGTTCTGCTGAGTCAAGCACTCCACTTTGCCCAGGTTTCACCCCATTTGCAAGATCTGACATTTCATCTAAAGAATCTAGAGCTCTCACCACCTGGTGGAAGAACAGTTCATCTTCATCTTAGTTTTTTATTTTTTCCCCCTAAGTTGGGATATGTCTATGTAGGAGATTTTCCATTTAGTTGGAACTTTTATGTATGATATGAAGATTGCTAACCTGACTCATTCTTGGCCTTTTTACGGCTGAATGACGAACGCAAGCAGCGGCTGCTTCAATCATCCGAAACATTTCTCGGTCGACATAATTGTTGTCCAGCCTTGGATCCACCAGTTCTTCAAAATTCTCATCCTCAAGGGCTTGTGCAAGCAACGGTCGAGCCTGCAGTATTAATAACAGTTTATGTACAGATGAATTTGAAAGCCAACAGGATCCAGAAATAAGGATGGTTCACAGTAAAGTGGCAAAATAAGAGTAAAATCATAGTCTCATTCTTTCAGTGAAGAACAATTACAGCCTAGATATTAGAGTGCCAGAATATATCGGTTTTTCGAGCCCCCAAGGGCAGTCCTGTTGGCAAGGGCTTAGAGGTCCCAAGTTCGTATCCTTAAAGTCTCCCAAGTTCGGTTGTGGGTGCCCTTGGATATGTGGGACAAAGGTCCAAATCCCAGGTTATCAAAAAAAAAAAGAGAAAAATTTCACCACGTTCCATTTTCAGATACAGTAAGGTCAAACCGCCTTGTTGTTTCTTGTTTTTGGCAATTGAAATTCTTCAAATGTTGCATAAAAACATTTGAAGGTACTTTCTCATAAGTAAAAACATAATCAAGTCACATGATTCATTTGATTCTTCAAAAGAACTTATTAATATTATGAGTTACTTTGCCTGAACCAAAATTTTAAATTCTTTTCTCATGTCATATTGAGACAGATCATGAACTATCAATCAAAAGAAAAAGTTAAAAGAGACATTTTCAGTTTTTCTTATGTCTTTACTTTCAGGTTCCCAACCAAAACATAATTCAATGGAGACAATTAAAAACGGACTAAGGTCTTGAAAGTTTGACAATTTAACATTCTGAAGGTCAAATACCACTTTCAATCTTTTTTCTTCTAAGAAGCAAAGATAGACTATAGATACACGAGTTTTCGAGGGGACTAAAACTTTACAAGCATCTTGCATGGTTATATAGGAAGAAAGAAGTTAAGATAGAAAGGGCTTACCCATTCAACTAAGCTCTCATCCCCTAGAGGCTGAGAAGAATCGACAGGCTTGCGACCAGTAATTAGCTCCAAAAGAACAACCCCATAGGAGAAAACATCAGATTTATCCGTCAATTTCCCACTTGTTGCATATTCTGGAGCCATGTATCTGAAGATTACAGAGTAATTTTTACATATAGGAACAAGAACATAAAAATGCAGATTGCATTGAGAAATAAAATTATAACTAAACAGGCCGTTTGTAGTTCTTGAAGTAAAAAAGCAGAGAAACCACAGATGCAAGGCTATATTATTGACATTGCACTTTGGATTCAATTAAATGCTTCAGATGCAGACATGCCATTGAAGTCCATCCTAGGTTGAGGCTGGCTATGTTGAATATTTTGATATTGAATTTGGACATTTTTTCTCTATTTGATTTTGTAGCTAAGTTTGGGTATCTCCATTTTCGTCACTTGGGTTTGGATGTTTTGTTGATTGAATTTTGTGTGACTTATTAGTTGATTATTGGGTAATTTTCAAATTTGGTTTTGAAGATATATTAATTTTATCACTTGTTAAGTTTGAGGTTCATGTTCAATTAGATGAAATTGAAGGTTCAAAATTAAAACCGACTCGGGTACTAAATACAAGGTATGAATAAAGTATTCCCTCCAGAAAAGCTTTTACCAGGTAAGGTAAGGAAACGTACACCAGCACTGAAGTACATAGAGCACAGCCATCATGAAAAGAGAGAGTGCATATGTATAGCAACTTGCTACCGAGAAAATGAAACATAAGCACTTTCAGTGACGTACCCAAAAGTTCCCATAACACGGGTTGTTACATGTGTATGTGAATCCAATGCTAATTTAGCAAGCCCAAAATCTGCAACCTGTTAGTGGAAGCATATAACAGATAAGTTAGGAAGCCATTGGCCACACCAGCCATGATCTTATGTTAAATCAATCTATGATTGTTATGACCAAGTAAAAGCCTTTCCAGCACAAGAAATAAATGACATAACCATTCCATCAGAATTTCTGAAGCATATATTGCCAAAGCATAATATGATTTGTTGGGGCAGACGCAGATGGTGTGTTGTTATAAATATATATTCATTGTGAAGATATGAAAAAGTACAAAGAGGAGAGTAGCATCAAAACCCCCCAAGAACCTCAGGACTTATAAGAAGCTGCTTGAACTAGTATTAGGTACACCTGAGTTATGATTACCGAAAAGCTTGAGAGAGCGTCAAGTAGAAGCAAGGAAAGTACAGTTCAAAAGAATTCTAGCAATTACCTGAGCTTCAAAGTTGATATCGAGCAGAATGTTAGACGATTTAATATCCCTGTGAATAATGCGCGGATGGCCTGGTAAGAATCATCCAAATATTGAGAGGGACAATGAAAGGATACTTAGAAAAGCAAAAGCAGAAATCAAGTGTATAGAGAAAAGATTGAAGGTTACTAAAATATAACTAGATTTTATTATTATTATTATTATTATTATTATTATTATTATTATTATTATTATTATTATTATTTTAACAGGAAACAGACTTTTTATTAAATATATGAAAAGGAAGAAAAATGTTCAAAGATACAAACTTCCTAAAGGAAGAGAAGAAAAAAGAAAAAGTAACCACCAAGTAACAAAGACCACCAATTGCAAACTATCGAACAACATCGAAAAGACAAAAGACAAAAGCCAAAAGAATAACTAGATTTTATTATAAAGGAAGCATCATAACAATGGAAGTATAATGAGAATGAAGAATCAATGAAATGGCATGTATAGGAAGCAGAAGCACCAACAACAACAAGATTGAGCATCATAGATGTCGATGTGTCATTTGTTAAATATGCTTTATCAACAATTTCCAAAGGGAGGAACTTACAATCTTCATGAAGGTAAGCAATTCCACGGGCAGCACCAGCAGCAATTTGAACACGTGTGGCCCAAGCCAAAACTGGCCTGTTCTCACCTGAAATTAAGAATTTCCGTAGGTATTATTATTAATATCTAAATGACAGTATTATGCAGCAAATTATGTAGAAAAAAATTGAAAAGCACCACAATGGGCATGGAAACATTCACCATTATGAGATTAAAAATCAAGATGGAAAATTCTCAAGAAATATTTATGAAGTGCAATACAACTGAAAGAGAACAAAATGGAAATTTAAAATAAACCTACTTTCAAGATTAAATAAATAATATCTATGCTGCATGCTTATAAGAAGTACTTCTTACTGTGCAGATGGTAATGAAGGGTATTGTTTGGAACATAATCGTAGACAAGCAATCTTTGATGATCGGAGATACAAAAACCGACCAGGGAAACCAGATGTCGATGATGTACTCGGCTAATAATCTCAACTTCTGCTCTGAACTCTCGTTCTCCCTGTCCACCACCAACTTTAAGTTGTTTAACAGCTACGTCCCTTCCATCTGCAAGGGTGCCTTTGTACACACAACCAAATCCACCTTCCCCCAAAAGATTCTTCGACGAAAACCCACCTGTTGCCTGGACTAGCTCTTCATAAGTAAACCATCTTGAATTACCTACTCCACCTCCATCTGATGATGAATACTTGAAATCACTATCAGTACGACTTCCTACCATAGGGGCTGAAAAAGGGGGCCTTAAGAAAAGGGAATCTGGAGAATATATGAATATTCATTAGTATCCAAAATATTATGGCACCATTCCAAATGAAATCTCCATGTATTCTAAATGAAAATAAATAAATAAATAAAATCCCTAGCTTCAGTTTCCAAGATAATTGATGTTGAGGGTGCCAAGTAGCTCAGCCAAGTATAATCGACTTGTGTAGTCAACAAGTTGAAATATTAAACTCCCAGATGTAAACGCTGAACCAAACACACACAATAACTAATTTTTCTGAATAGAACATCTGGAATGATATCAAATCTACTTTTATGGATGATCGATCCATGGACAGGTTCAAAATTTTAGGTAGGGATGGAATCATATCCTTGGAACTTTAATTGGACTATAAATTGAAAACTTTAGTTAATATATAAATTCCAATGAAAACCGCAAATGAAATCAAGACAAAAGGTTGATACTGCCATCTAGTATTTTCCATCCTCAATAACTCTGTCAACCACAGATCCAAATTAGTTGTTTTTCTTCTTAAATTTCTAATCTATAGCAATGAAGAATATTGCCTAAATTTTAAATTGGCTTAAATTAG